CCACAACCACCCGAAGCAGGACTAGAACGGGTTTTGTGTTCTGCTTCTTCTTATTCGAGTGCTGCACTAGCCGAAAGGCCAAGAGTGCTGATCATCCAGTCGGCCGCCAGGGTTTTTTCGCCCGGCAGTCCGTGCCAGAATTGTCCAGCTTTGCCGCCAGACTCGCACTCCAAGCTCCTTGCCGGAGTCGGCCTTTCCCCAAGCTCTTTCTAGGACGTCCCGTCACTGGGTCCCCGCAGGGTCACCCCGCTGTCCCTGTTAGGGTGGCTTGGTCAGGGTCGCCGTCCCCGCCAAGGTCCTTACGCCGTCCTTGCCAGGGTCGTCCGCCGTTGTCCAGAATCGTCTGCCAAGCTGTTTTTGGCCTTTTTAGTTGCTGTCCGCCGTCCCCGTTAGGGTTGCCCGCCGTCCCCGCCAGGGTCGTCCGTCTGCCAAACTGTTTTTGGCTTTTTTTTCGTGCCTGTCAAAGTCATCGCCAAGTCCCCACCAGAGTTGTCCGCCGTCCCCGCGGGGTCACCCGCCGTCCCGTCCGCCATCCCCTGCAGGGTCCGCCAGAGTCGTCCGCCGTCGCCCGCCGTCCCCGCCAGGGTCGTCCGCCGTCCCCCTCCAGAGTCGTCTGCCAAGCTGTTTTTGGCCTTTTTAGTTGCTGTCACAGCAGTGTCGTCCGCCGTCCCCGCCAGGGTTGCCGTCCCCGCCAGGGTCGCGCCCCGTCCCCGCCAAAGCCGTCCGTCCACCAAGTCCCCGCCAGGGTCGTCAGCCGTCCCCGCGAGGACTTGCCATCCCCGCCAGGGTCGCTCGTCAAGCTCTTTCTACCAGGCCCCGTCCCCGCCAGGGTTCTCGCGCTGGGAGATAAGGCGCCATCCCCTCCAGAGTCGTCTGCCAAGCTGTTTTTGGCTTCCCCTTCCAGCCAAGCTGTTTTTGGCCTTTTTGCTGTCACAGCAGAGTCGTCCGCCGTCCCCGCCAGGGTTGCCCGCCGTCCCCGCCAGGGTCGCGCGCCGTCCCCGCCAAAGTCGTCCGTCCACCAAGTCCCCGCCAGGGTCGTCAGCCGTCCCCGCCAGAGTCGCCCGCCATACCCGCCAGGGTCGCTCGTCAAGCTCTTTCTACCAGGTCCCGTCCCCGCCAGGGTTCTCGCGCTGGGAGATAAGGGTACCCAATTTTACTATTGTGCCCCATGGCTAGCAGTGCCAAATCAGGTCTGGTAGACTCGATCTGCTTGGCCAAGCAAGCAGATCTCGAAGCGGTAGCGTTCAGTGGTACCGGCCGCCGCCGGGCGCGGGCGGCCAATGGTTTAGGGTTTAGGGTTCAGGGTTTAGGGTTTAGGGTTTAGGAGTCCCCTTAAAACGAAACCCCCAGGTGAGAAACCCTTCCCAAAGGTATGTTGGGGGGATGCCTTCACGAACCATAATCTAGGGCATTCATAAGTAAAACCGGGTTTGGGGGCATAGTATGCTATGATCGTGATAGAGGCCCCTACATTAATCATGTACTTCCCAACCAAAGGACTCCGCTTTCAATGGTGTGGGCTAGGTTGGACCGTTATGGAGCCATTATAGAAGTGTTTTTTGTGGAGCCGCTGGAAAAGAACAAGCCAGCCCTGCAAGCCCAATAAAGTGCTTTCTTGAAGGCTCATGGGACTTAGTAAGTATGGTTATAAATTAAAAAGTAAGGTTGCAAATAGATTAGGGTATCCCTACTTGTCGGGTATCATGGGGAACTAAAGGTTAACCTTTTTGGTTATAACGGGGTTATATAGGCACCATACTCCCTAGAACAGGTTAAAGTTTACCTACTCGTCTACTAGGTATCCCTACTTAGGGTATTTCTAAGCCCAACTGCAACCATACTTGCTGAATCCTTTGAGCCTTTTAAATCGGATTATTCGAGACTTGGAATGGTTGCACAGGACGGCCGCCACTCGCCCCCGATGCCAAGGCCAAGCCGCCCTTCTGTCCTAAGTATTCTCAGTTCGGTTTAGGGTTGAAGGCTCAGGGTTCAGGGTTCATCAAAGCGGAAAAGGAGACCCATGGGTATATAATAGCTATATTAAGGGTATATACCCAGGGGTCCTTATTAAGGGTCCCTCCTTTTACCCTTGGATTTCAAGTTTTGGGTTTAGGGCCGGTTCACTTCACTAGCACATCCTCAAGGCCTGTCCCATTTATCGAGGTTCATATGTTCTTGCTAAGCTAAACCTTCAAATCGAAACTAAAAAAGTCACTATTCCGGGCTTATAGCGTACACTGCTTACATTGTTTCTCGAAAATGCAGGATACAGAGCTCCCGTTGCTCATTTTGTGGCCCCAAGTGAGCAGATTCGGTTTGGGAAGATCTGGAGCAATGTTCAAGTCTGGTAATACTTGAAGGTTCATGGGACTTAGTAAGTAAGGTTTAGGGTTTTTTAAATGTCGTATAGGGTTCTATACTAGGGTTTAGGGTTTAGGGTCTACTTGAAGGCTCATGGAACGTAGTAAGTAAGGTTTGTAAGTTTGTAAGTAGGTTATAATTAGGACAATCTCACTTAGGGGACTTATAACACCAAATATAACCTACTTACTAAGTCCCATGATCCTTTAAGTATCCCTCCGTTAAGAGCCCCGAACTGGAACTGGAAGTTCAGAACTTTGTTGCTCTCCTCAGAAATCTCTCCGAACACCTCGGTAGTTTTATTATGATCATTCTCACTGTTTTATTCGAATTATTATCATTACTATTTTCAAGTAGTATGATCTTTTTTAGTATTGTTATGATTATTCTGAGCATTATTCGTACTGTTTTTACGCCCCTATCTTAACTTGCGCGTCAAGACCACCGCCAGGCCCGAGCCCCTGCGGGCACGGACAAAGCCATGAGCGGCGGCCGCTCAGCTTTTAGAGCCTTTTGGGGCTAGAGTATATGGGTTCTACTATATTGGGTGCGCCTTATAATACTTAGAGTGTATCAGTTCTTAATGGTAGTTCAATTAGTTCAATCAGAGCCTTTTAGGGTTTGGGGCTGGTTGAGGGTTTAGGGTTTAGGGGATAGGTTTTTATGGCAGTTCTTAATGGTAGTTCAATCAGAGCCTTTTGGGGCTAGGAATATATGGGGCCTTCTTTAATCGCCTATACTCTTCTGGGTGCGCCTGATAATACTTATAGTGTATCAGGCATCGATTTGGGATAATTTCTCTTTTCGTTTATACTTATACAACTGTGAACAATGTGAGGACTGTTGAGATCGACACCTAGATACGGGTAGTTCAATCGGCTTCATAAGAGCCTTTTAGGGTTTAGGCATGTTTGGGGGGTTTAGGTTCAGGAATGGTAGCTCAATCTGCGTTAGAAGAGCTTTTGCAGTGGTTCGGATCGGCTCTAGAAGGGCTTATACAGGGCAGAGGGCGTAAGAGCTCGTTATAGAAGGGTTTATATAGGGCCATAGAGTGTTACATTCCAAGATCAGTCGTGCGTTGGCTTCATCCGCGAAGCTGGTGCGATAAAGTCAACAAAACTTAGGGGCACTTAGAAATAATTTTAATTTTTGGTTATTATAATCCCTAAGAGACAGCTAAAATTATAATTTATGCTAGGGTTCTAGGTTCAGTATAGTATATCTGGTTCGATAAACCCCGAACCCTAAATCTTGTTTGGGACTCAGCCAGGACCTTAGGACCTGAATTTTGTGGGTCTGCTTCATATAATGGGGTCATATTATAGGGTGTTAAACGTAAACTTTCAGGAGGGATTCTAAGTGCTATTGGGTATCGGCATCCGACGAACGAGGCAAGCCATCTCACATCACGCGCCCTCCGCGTGCCGTCCAGCCTGGGGCCCCAAAGGGAAGCAGAAACACGATCCGCTTCGAGGGATTACCAAAAAGGGGCGTTAATAGCACCTAGGGTTCCTAGGGCTGCTTTAAGGGGTATGATAAGGATTGAGTATAGGGGCCTTGATAAGCACCTATCCGATTTTGGGGGTTCCTTGGTATACTTATAGTAGAGTGGGCTCCAAAAGCCTATTCTAAATGTGAAGGCCCCTATATTCTCTGCATCCCGAGAACAGTAATCTCCCCTTTCAGCCCGTTCATTTTAACATGGGTGGTTGTCAAATTTATGGTCCCTTTTTGGGTACCCTAGTAATTAGGTGCCGTATCATATTAAGGACCCAAAAAGGGACCTTAATATTGACAACCACCAATATGTTCATTCACCCCCCCGAACCCGAGTCTATCCATCATTATCCACTACCGTGTATAGGGGCTTGTAATACATATTCAGCAAGCAGAAACGAACCCTTGGAGGAACCCCTGTTCAAAACCGCCAAACATGAAACTAAGCCCAAACCCTCACCCCTAATGTCGAGTTGACTATGTCCCTGGCCTAGGCGGAAGGAAAAAGGCCATCAAAGCAAAAGCAATTAAATAAACCCTACAACCTTCATGGTTACCTTTTTAATACCAAAATGCAAAATACCGCACTTAAGCCCTGAACACCCTAAACCCCCTGAGCCCTAAACCCTAATTGATGAACCTAGACCCCTCAACTACCCTCTAGTATACCTTAAATACCCAGCATTAGGGACCACAAAGGACTCCATTAAATTAAGCCGTGAATTAAAGGGTGCCTGGGTGTCCTGGAAGGAACGAGAACAGCAAAGGAAGCCTTAAAGGAATCCTAAAGGAACCCTCAAATTGGGCCCTTAAAAGAACTCTTAAAGGAACCCTAAAAAGCAAAACAAGCGTAAACCCTAAACCCTACAAGGAGACCAGCAAAGGAAGCTTTAAAGGAATCCTAAAAGCAACCCTTAAGGGAACTCTTCAAGGAACCCTAAAAAGCAAAATAGCTTTTTCAGAAGCAGGCATATACCTTAAATCATATCCGGGATCCCACTATATTGTAAGGACTATTCCTTCATTGCTTGATATTGGAGTTTCTGCGGACAACGCTAAACGCTTAATGGAACCCCTCACCCCTAAACCCCTAAACCCCTAACCCCTAAACCCCTAAACCTTGTGTTTGTTTAAGGATTCGCATGGCGGCCCATGGTGATTTCGACGATCTTGTTCAGAAGTTGGCAGAAGACGGTCTTTCCCCTAACGATCTGGGGTTCTTGAGGAGCAGGTTTTCTGCAGAAGGGGCAAAGAGGCTCCTTACCGCAAAAGATCTGCGTACTCTCAAGGCGGTTTGCGAGGAGTTTCTATTCGCTTCACTGGTTTCTCCGCCCAATCTTGACAAGATTAGAGAGTCAGTGGAAAGAGTGTCGATGCAAGCCTCAGGGCTCACTAACAAAAGGAAAGCTGAAGGAGCTGCTGAAGAAGAGCATGCAAAGAGTCTCAAACCCTCAGAGAAAACCGGCACCAATGAGAATTCCAAGGTTGATGATACCTTAGATGGCGAAGATGCCACTGAGGAGATTGAAAATATGGGCACCGCTGCCGGAGGTGACCTCAAAGATGCACACATCGGAAAGGGCAAGGGCTCCGGGAAGAGCAAAGGAACTGCTGGGAAAGGCCTTGCCGATGGTGGGAAAGGGTCCTCATCTAAAGGAGGCAAAGCGACCGCAGGCTCTTCGGCCAACCTGTCTGGTGGCTCAGCCGACCTCGATCTTCAACACCGTTTGGAGAAGAAGAAGGGGCTTGGAGATGATGGCGAATCTAGCCCTCGTTCAGATGGCGGAGCATCTAGCAATGCTGCGAAGAATCTGGAAGCAAGGAAGAATCGCTTGAACAAAGTAAATACTATGAGAAAGGCCATTGATGAGGAACACGACAAGATGACCGACAACAGGTCTGATGACTCGACTCTGAAGCAAGGAGAGAAGTCTATCAAGCAAGAAGGACTGGTTTCTATTCTGGAAAGGTCAAATTCCAGCACGTATGAAGTCGATCCGGGCGTTAGTACTTCAAGGTTGAGGAGTATGGCGGATGCCATCCATGCGACTGAGCGTGGCAGGCACAGATCTGACGTGGCTGTCATGACTGTGTGTCATGATGTCAACGAGGACGATAGTCAGTCCACTTTCTTCTCAAAGCGCACTTATTTGTGTGGCGTCGTGGAGACAGACATCGTCACTGTTGACAGGGAGCCTGACGGTTCAGAAGTTGGGTTTCCAGAACGATTCCGTGCTCTCGTGCCTTTTCTGAGCGATGAGCCTTGCTGCGATGTTCTTTACAAAACGAGTCCTTGCATACAAAGCCGTTACACCATACGGCCTGGTATGGCAGGCTCGAGCCTACAAGAGCACAGGAGCCTCTTCGCTGTCAAAAACTCAAAACTGGTCACGGCTCAGAGCAAAATGTCTTCAGATTTCAAGGCTTCTATCGCCTCTTACCTGAACTTCAGCGCGGCAAGGAGCCAGACTGTGGCCGGAACTGGTGAGAGTGTCTCCCAGAACTTAGCTCAAGCTTTCCATAGGCGTTTCCTTGAAGAGCAGAAAGCTAGTGAGCTCAACTGTTCCACGCTGTTGACCAAGTTGGTGATGTTGGATGAGATGCTTACGAAATTTGAAGCAGGCATCAAAGCAGTGATGAAGTCTGGAGCTGCTTCATCCCAGCTGAAAATCCGTTTGGAAGACCAAGAAAACATTTCGGGGAATGGAGGATTCCGCAAGTACAGGGATCCAGCAGCCACCGCGGCTCGTGTGGCCACTGATCCTTTGGACAAGCCTAGGCTTGCTTCAGGCACCGGAGTCACCGTGTTTTCTGGAACAGAGGCCAATCTACCTTACAATCTTTCCGAGTCTGGGGTACCTGAAGAGGTTCTCTTGTTCATAGCCGAATCCGCGCTGGATATCGATAGTGTCGAGTTGATCTCGTTTTGCATCACGCAGAACAGGCTGCTCAACTTTTCGGTCAACCTGGCTAAGGGGATGGTTGTAGAAGATGCGCACGCCAAGAGGTGGTGGCCCGCCGTGCTTGACGTTCACTTTCCCACGATCGGAACAGGTGCTGCCTTACATGTGGGTGCAATGGTAGGCACTTTATACGACTTCCTACATGATGAAAGAGCGGGTACCAGCACAACTACTACCACCTGGACGTCGTGGCCGACGAGCACAACCCTGGAGGAAGTGCAACTGGAACAAGGGATGAGTACAACCACAACAACCTGGGTGTCCTCCGGTACTTCCTTCTCCCTGCTGGACTTCGAGAATATTACGGCGTCTACCTCCTCGCAAATTGGGTTGGATACAGGGATGGTGGCTGACGGTGTAACCCTGGAGGAGAGGGCACAACTCCTGGCGCGGCGCATCGCTGACCTGGTCCATCGTGAACTCCTCAGTGCTCTTCGCCACTATGGCTCCGACCGTGCCCGGCGCCAGTGGTCGAGAACTTCGCAGAGGAATGGGATGAGACCACCGTGGCGAAATCCATCTACTGGGGGAGAGATCACTACTCCTACGAGGTGGACCTTTGAGGACACGTGGCAAGCTATTCGCCGTGATCGTGGAGAACGGAATGTGGTTGGTTATGATCGGCTTTTTGGAAGGTTAACGGGAAGACCCATGGACTGGGGGCGCACTACAACAACCTGGCCAGGCCCGTCTTCGCTCTCTGTGGTGCAAAATGCCGAGGAGGATGAACAGGTGGATGAGGAGCTCGTTGACACGATGGTACCTGCTGCATCTTTGGGCAATGATGAAAAATAGCATTGGGCGATGATGACACACTGCTCACGGTAGCGCCGGAGGTTCCGTTCCCTGTGGGTGACGTGGCTATGCAGCTTGTGGATGTGCAGCTTGAGAATGTGGAGCCAGAAGTTCAGTTCCCTGTGGGTGAGGAGGTTGTGCAGCTCGAGGATGACATTCACACAAGTGATATGAACCTTGGTGATGATCGTCTGTCTCCTCGCGAGTATTCGTCATGGCGTGAACTGTGACTCCTCTTTTCGCTGCTCTTGTGGATCCTCCTGTCTTTTGTGTTCCTCTTTGTGGATGACAAGTTCACGATCCTGGAGGACGAGGTCTACCATCTGAGCTATGTTTCACCTCTACAAGCCCTTGGAGGGCAGGCTGCTGCAGGAGAAAGGCCGCCATTGTAGGTTAAAAAACAAACCCTAAACCCTATAAACCCCCAACCCCTAACCCCTAAACCCTAAACCTCTAATCCCTAAACCCCTTAACCCTAACCCCCTAAACCCCTAAACCCCTAAACCCCCAAACCCCTAAACCCCTAAACCCCTAAACCCTAAACCCTTTAAACCCCGAAACCCTAACCCCTAAACTTCTAACCCTCCCAAAACCGAAGCTTTCAGAAGCCGAAAACCCTTAAAGGAACCCTTAAAGGAACCGCCACGCAAGCAAAATAGCGCTTTGCGAAGCCGAGGCCGACGAAGGAAAAGCCTCCGAGCAAGGCGGCCGCCGGGCAAAAGCTCCCGGAGCCCCGGGAGGCCGCGGGGTTTTTTGTGGATTTAATAAGTAGGGTTCCTTTAAAGGGATCTGTAAGGGCTACTATAAGGGGGTTTTAGGGTTTAGGGTTGGGGTTTAATTTAGGTCATAGTGAGTAGGGTTAAGGGATCTATAAGGGCTACTACAAGGTTTTTTTTTTGTGTGAGGGGGGGGTGGAATTTTATTTAGGGTTTGGGGCTTAGGGGTTTAATTAGGGGTTTAGGGTTTAGGGGTTTAGGGTTTGAGTATAGGGTTCCTTTCAGGGTTCCTTTCAAAGGGATCTATAAGAGCTGCTATAAGGGGTTTTTTGGGCGTTTAAGATAGGACATACGGTTGATGATATAAATCCTGCATTACCCTAGTAAGGAATATACCATAATTCCCATGGTTTAGGGTCCTTAAAGTAATGCAGGATTTATATCATCAACCGTAGTAAGTAGCCTTCCTTTAAGGGCCCAGGGTTTTTGTTTGGGGATTTTGGGGGGGGTTCCTTTAAGGGTTTTTTTAATAAAAGGAACCCATAGGGTTTAGAGGGTTTAGGGGTTTAGGGTTTAGGTTTTGTTGGGGGTTTACATGTGGGACTTAGTCAGTATAGGGTTCCTTTAAGGGGATCTATAAAAGGCTTAGGGGTTTTGGGTTTAGGGTTTCAGCGGCTTTTTTGGGGTTCGGGGAGGACAAGGAGTTTAGGACTCAGGGAGTTCAGGGTTTAGGGGTTTAGTTTAGGGTTTTGTTAGAGGTTGGGGATCCGATAGTTTAGGGTTGCTTGAGTTTAATGTAGGACATAGTAAGTAGGGTTCCTTTAAAGGGATCTGTATGGGCTACTATAAGGTTTGTTTAAAGGGTTTAGGGTTTAAGGTTTTAGGGTTTAGGGGCTTGCTTAAGCAAGGTTTAGGGCATTGAGGGCTGATGGTTTAGGGTTGCTTGTGGCCCACAAGACCTACCTTTTTGAGGCAATATATGTAGAAGCCATAATAAGGCACCCTAAAAAAGTAGGTTTTTTCGGCTACAGGTAAGGGCTGGGGGTCTGATAGTTGAGGGTTTAGGGCTGTTGGGACCTCTTAGTCTATGGTTAAGGGCTTGACAGCTTTTGCAGGGCTTTAAAACCCTAAAGCCTAAACCGGCAGAGGGGTTTATAGAACTGCAAAGGATTTTAAAAGGAAGCGTGTTGTAAATTGTTGTTCGTAGGTTCGCAGTGTTACTTGGCTTGTAGACGTTACATAAAGACTTGTAGTGGCTTTAGAGCCTGCTTTCTAGGGTTTTAGGATTACCTGGACCCCAAAAGTATGTAGAAGAATAGCCTTTTATAGGCTTTTGGCCATTATGTTACCTACTTTTGGGGGTCTAGGTAAGGGGTTTTGGGTTTTGAGTTTTCGGATTTAGGGCGTTAGGACTTGAGTGTCTTGCGCTGTTTATGTGTAAAGGTTGGTTCTACAGTAGGTGTTTTGGGAGTCTTTCAGGGGTCTTACATAAGTGTTTCGGGCTTGGGGTTTAGGGTATAGGTGTTTCTGGGGCGTTTGGTACAGGTATGTTGAACAAACCGATGTGTAAAGTGTGGGTATAAGCGATTACTTGTACTTTTTGTTGGCATATTTCACAAGTCGGAAACACATACCGACCTGTGCTTGGCTGTTTGTAAACATCTTTTGTTCATATGTTGTGCCATATATGGGTGGGTTGACTCCTTCTGCACTTCGACCGGTGCAACTGCATTTTCATGTTCGGCTTCACAAGCAGGGTCTCCAAAGGTTTGCTTCAGTGTTATACAAAGGTCAAGTAAGATTTTACGAGGGTTCGACCACGGTTTGTGGATTTAGGGATTGCAGTAAGGTTGGGGCTTGTGCGGTTTTAGCATTCTGCGGCGTTTGGAGTGCAGGGTTTAAGATGTCAGGATTTGAGGGTTCGGGTTTCGGGGGTGCTTGACCCTGAAAAACGGACAACACAGCAAGTCTGAAGCCAAAGCCATAATATGGATATTATAAGTGCTAAGCCATTCATGCTGCAAACCCTGGGCGAAACTACTCTAAACCCCAATGTAGCCCAAACCTCCACCTATTCTCATAAGAACTCTTCGCACCTTTGCATCGCTACCTTCAAAGTATCATTTCAATTATAAAGAAAGCCTAACAAGGAGCTCTGAACGGCAGGCAGGTTCTCTAGGGTCTAGGTGTGAAGAAGGCTTATGGCACCTCTTAGTTTGGTGAACCTGGTACTACTTAAAGGCTCATGAGGCTTAGTAATTAAGTGAGGTGCCTACAATATAATTACGATAACCCCACTTAGGGGACTTATAACCCCGTTTATGACCTTATGACCTACTTACTAAGTCCCATGATCCTCTCAGTAACCTAAACTCCCCCGTATCCCCTTCTAGAACCCGTAATGATAGATCCCTAAACCCGAAACCCGGGCCTAAAGGAACCCTAGAAGAAACCCTTAAAGGAGCCCTTAAAGGAACCCTACTGAGTCCCATGCTCCTCTAAGTAGGCCGCGCAGCCAGCACCACGCAGATATGAGACTGGGCCTCGGGTGCTGATGCAGTGGACGGTTTAGGGTTTGGGGTTCCTTTAAAGGGTGTGCTAGGTTTCGGGGTTCCTGTAAGGATTCTTTAAAGGGCAATAAGGGAACTATAATGGGGTTTAGGGGTTTAGGGTTTTGGGCTCAAAACGGGGCTCAGGGTTTAGGATTACTCCTATTAGGGGTCTTGGGAATTGTTTCTGATTTTGGCATAAAAAGACCTTCAGGGGTATCAAAGTATTCTGTCGATTATGGTTCTCTTGCAAGTCTCGGGTTTTAGAGGTCAGTGATGAAGGTTTTCCGAATTGACAACTTTTCGAGGCGAAGTACTGTTACAAAGACTGAGAGATGTGCGTGTTCAAGGGAATGTGACTCGAGGACAAGGGGGGCTCCGGGTTCGTATTTAGGCCTTTCAGGTTTGAGGGATCCCATTCCGACTTCTGGCATGACAAACTCAACTGCCCAGGGTTCAAGCTTCGGGACTGGGTTTCAGCTTGAAGATACTGTCCCTGCGTACTTGTAACGGTAAAATAGAGGGTAAACTGTGAGATCTACCCACCGGAACCAAACAATCTAGTTCTTCTGGCTTCTACATGCCTGTGTCAAGTTCTTGGGGGTGCAGAGCTTCGAGGTTGTATAATATATATATATATATATATATATATATATATATATATATTTATTTATTTATTTATTTACATATGCATATACATATACATATACATATACTTATACTTATACATACGTATATATATATATATATATATATATATATATATATATATATATATATTATTTACATACTTAAACTTATTTTTATATATCTATATATATATATATATATATTAATGTATGTATATATATATGTATATATTTAAAATTTAAAAGTGTCGGGGCACTATGAGGCCAACTCAAAAAGCCTGGCTGGGTTTGGCTATAGCATCGGATCTATGATCAACACTACTTGAAGGCTCACGGGACTTAATAAACAAGGTTATAATTAGGATGCCCACTTGGAGGACTTATAACCCCACTTACATCCTACTTACTAGGTCCCGTGATCCGAGATCCTTTGGGCAGCAGTATGTAGCAATGTAGTAGTCTTCAGAACCCCGAAGCAGTCGCATCACAGGAAACCCAAGGGTCGCTGTTGAAGCCGGTGTATTGTGCAGTTTAGCGCCCGGAAAGCCGCCGATGATTCGAAGATGCGGATGCCCTTGCCCTAGGGACGAAAAGAACCCTAAAAGGGTTTAGAGTTCATATACCTTCTAGTGATTCATAGCATAATTTTGTAGGGTCCCTTCTTTTAAAGGTCATTTGGTCCTTAAGGTACTTACAGGATCATGGGACTTAGTAAGTAGGTTATAACTGGGGTTATAAGTCCCCTAAGTGGGGTTATCCTAATTATAACCTACTTATAACCTACTTACTAAGTCCCAGGAGCCTTTAAGTAATCACTGTGGTCCCAAGATGACAGCTTCCTCCGCCTCAGCAACTCTCAAGCCTTGATGCTACAGCCTGTGCCCCTAATCTGGAGTGGATCTGGACCCAATCTTAACTACTATTTGCTTAAGAAGCACCAAAAAAATTAAAAAAATAATAATCCCTATATTCCTTATAACCCTAAACCCTAAACCCTGCACCCTATAGATCCCTTAAAGGAACCCTTAAAGGATCCCTTAAAGGAACCCTTATAGTACCCCAATCTACTATTTGCTTAAGAAACCCACAAAAAATTAAAAAAAAAATGCATTCCTTATGGGGGTAATATAGGGATTATTATTTTTATTTTTTTGTGTGTTTCTTAAGCAAATAGTAGCTAATCTGGAGTGGATCTGGACGGAATCTTAAACTCCTGTGACTCCAGAACCCTGGAAGCCGTAAAAAGCTTAATTGTCCGGAATATTCGCCTAGTCTTCGAGTAGGTAGCCTTCAACCTTTTTTGGGTAGTATAGTCCCTGTATAATCCCTATACATATAGCCAAAAAGGTTAACCTTCAGTTCCCCATGATACCCGACAAGTAAGTTCGTCTTCTTGAAAACTTGAGGAAGGAAGGCAATGTCCTCCGAGAATATGTCAGCGAGGATCTGCGCAAGGCGAGGTTTCAGAGTTGCGTTTGCAATCGGACCCATTTTGAGCTATTTGGCAGGCTTTCGGTCCTTCGGTGTTTTCAAGCATTTCCTTCACCCCAAGTAACCTATTTTTTAAGGACTTATATCAAGAGGTCATATTAGGGAACCTTAAGAAAGGTAGGTTCCTTAGGTTAGACCAGCGGATTGCCATTTTCGGACTTCGCGCGTTTAAAAGCAGTTATAGCTTCGGGTCTTGTCTATGCGGTTCAGGCCTTCGAGGTCCAATGTAGGGGCCGAAATAACTACCTATCTCATTTTGGGGGGTTCCTTATTATGACTTTCTGGGGGCCTTAGGAGCACCTAGGGTTCCTAGGGTTCCTGCAAGGGGTAATTATTATAGAGAGGGGACTGTTGTGGCGTGGGAAGATAAGCAGAAGATAAGCATGGGTTCCTTCTTCTTTGCTACCTCTGATGCAGCGGATCTCTGTGCCACCACACGCGACATGGAAAACTATGCGGATGCATGTGTACATATAACATGAAAAAACAACGCGGCAGATGCTCATGAGGCTTCCTCATACAGATGCTGAAGGCCGTTCTCTTTGAGAATAGCCTTGAGCTTCTTGAGCTCAGTCACGGTCTCTTCGTGCTTTTCTGCATCCCACTGGGCGCGAGCCACTACGCCTTCGAGGTCGTCGATCGTCTGGGCCATCACGAGCATCTTACGTTTGAGACTTGACCCACTGTCGCGGTCCCCGGAAATGGAGGAAGAAGCCGAAGACAGTTTAGGGCGACGTAGCCAAGTCTTAAGGGCCTCCTCAGCTTCATCGGACCAGCTATTCGACCCCAAACCCACGCTGCGCTTGATGTTAGCGATCTGGGTCTGTAGATTACGAACAGTCATAGCCGCTTTGGACGGATGTGCCGGGAGGCTTCCATCCTGCAGCTGCTGGTGCAACGTCTTAGCTGCCGGAGGTTCGCGGTCCGGGGTTGAGTCCGCAGCGCTCACACCCAAGTCCAGGGTGAACTTGCCACCGCCCTTGCGGGACATGTGGCCTGAAACGGACACCACCGAGTACGGCATCGCGAGTACGAAGAAAGCTACAACCTACAGAAAGGCTACGTGTGTCTGAGAGGCGGCTGAAGCGAGCATAGGTAAGACGGTAAGACTGTGCATGTAGTCACGCTGCTCATCAGAAGCACGGCATGCAGCAACAGTGTTTCTTTTGCTGTCCCTGAGCAATAAGGTCGCGGCCTATTGTCGTCATCGCTTCAGGCGCTTCGCGCTGGGCCTCTTGTGAACACTGCGTGATTTGGCAGTCGTTCGTCGAGTCAGCACTCCGTGCTGCGCCCGACCATGGAGGTTAAAGAACTTGCATGCCTCCAGTACCCAAAATTTGTGACTGTGGGGTCGCAGGCTGTTCAGAAAAAAGTTCAGGGGGCGAATCCACGCATTAAAGATTTCCGCGGTGTTGGTACGCGTGTCGCGGGCACGGCGGTCTTCGGCCCTAGTGAGTTTTCTTTTACTGCAGGTATGATTCGGCCGGTGAAACTTGTCGATGATGTAGTATTTGACATCCTGGAAGCCAGATGCCTTGTGCTTCTTGATAAACTCCTGCGCATGAAGTTGTAGTAGACACAACAACTAGCAGAACCAGCAAAGCAAAAGCAATGTAAAGCAACGAAAGCAGGAAACGGACTCCTCCAAGTGGCAGGCATCATCATGGATAATGAGGTCAACCTTCATGTTTGGCATATCGAGGACGGCTTGCAGGAGTCGAACTTTGTCGGACGACCGTTCATTTACGAGATGTTCGCAAGCCCCAAGAAGACGTTGAGAGGAAGGGTCCAAGACAAATTGCCATCCAGCAGTCCGATCGGGTAGCACCTGACGTACAGCGTCCTTCTGTTTGCAGGAGCATGTGCGTGTGAAATCACCAATGAGCTTGCGTGGCTTGCCTTTCAGTCTCACAGACCTGGGAGGGTCCACTCCTGAAAGCAGAGCACGATGAACTCCGAAGTTGCCGTCGCAGCAGACCGCGGTAACGGACGTGGGCGGCTCGAAGACATGGACGTGGGACGACGCACCGGACATGTTCACGATGGACTTCGCGGGGTACTCAAGGTTAAACTCTATGACCTTATCCGGCTCATTCTTGGCCACGGCGAAGCCCTCGAGGGCGTGCAGGAGATTATCGCGCAAGGAATGTTCTTGCCAAAACTGTAGCGGGTGGTGCGAATCTGCCAGGAGACGAACAGCGGCTTCTTGTCCAGGGGAGGTCTTGGCACGGAGTAGGCGGAGGTAGCACAGATGCAGGTACTTCATGGTGAAGCACGTCTTCTGGGTCACGAAGTAGACACCTGCTCTCTGCATCTGGTGAAAGGTCATACAGTTGATCTTCTGGCCACCCAACCAGACGAAGTTGTGACGAAGTGCACTACCACAGCTATTGCATCGTGAGGCCTGCGACCGCACCAGTGTAAGCGTTTCACTGTCAAGGCAAGTCGCCGATGCGAAGCTGTTCGTTGCCTTGGAGAAGTACAGATTACCAGAGCAGACGGGACATTTCCGACCCGGGTATTTGTACGTTCGTAGTTTGCTTGGGAGGAGCGGCATGGGAAGCGAGGTCGTTGACGAAAGCTGCAAACCTGTATACTTGAGAAGCTCGCTACAGCACAGATATGAGGCACGTGCTGAGTGTACTCGACGAAAGCATGCATCATGAGCAAAGAGTCCATTGCGCAGCACCGAAAGATCTCAACAACAGCAAGAGATATAGCAGTGCAATGCATGACCTTTTTCTTGTGCGGCGAAGTCATGATGGGGTCTGCGTGCGTGCTCCAAAGCAGTTCTGCGAAGACAGATAAGTAGCATGCGAAACCATTACGGAGGATGGTAACAGCATGGATAGTTACGGTGATCACCACGAGCAACTGCAGGGAGCACCAAGAACATCGGAAAGCTACGCGGGTTGCAAAACTGAGCATCTAGCCCTAGCAAGTGCGCTTCAGTCCATGTGCATGCCCAAACCCAGCGGATCATTCTCTTCCTCCGACACCACGTCCATCTCCTCGGAGTCGTTTGCGAAATCTGGGTTGGGAACATGCACAAGCCTTGCCGGCTCAGAAGAACGGCGTGGCGGCGTGTCCAGGTCGATGACGGACTTGGAAGCTTTCAGCTCCGTGGCCCATGTCCTAGCCTTCTTGCTCACCGCTTCTGCGTGAGCCCCCGCTTGTTCCCTCTTGATGCGCCGGTGGAGAGGCTCCGATGAGGTAGGTTCGCGGCCGAACAGAGCCTCACGAACTTGCAAGCGTTTCTGATGGTCTGGACGGCGCTCCTGTTGGCGTTTCTCAACAAGTTTCGACACCCATTCCTGCTCCCGACGCACCTGGGCGTTGAAGTCGGGAGGTAGAAGACGACCACCATCCTTGAAGACACCGTACAAGGCTTTGCCCGCATCCGTCATATACTCCGCATTTGGAATTTCGATACGAGGAATGCGATCTTGATTGATGCCAGCCTTTCTGTAGTAGATGTGCGTGTCTGTGTTTACCACGAAGACGCTTCGCTTGAAGATTGCATTCATGTGGGCTTTGGTGATGTCAGGACCGAATGCAGGCTTGATGATATTGGAGAACTCCTCGTGGGGGACACTGGGCAAGAAGCTCTCTGTTTTGACCTTGTAGTCCTCATCGAAAGTATTGTCAGCGACGGCTCGAGGCTGATTCTGTACCCATTTCACAGCACCCCAGCGTGCCCATGACATGGCCTCATATAGACCCACGTCCAGCAAGGACTTCAACATCTTGTTTGAGAGCCACTTGATGGTCGTGTCGTCCAAGAAATCCCCCATGCCGACATGTCCCTGCTCACCACGAAGGAAATCGATTTCAGGGGTACATCTGATGCAAGGTTTTTGGCGACTGCTGAAGCGGATCTGATTGTGTCGCACCTGAGCCATCAAGACACTGCGCCCCAAAGGCGACTTCCCAGCTCCAGCTTCACCGAGAAGTACCAGGGCAGAGGTATCGAAATCCCACACCTTTTCGAAGATGTCCAGAACCCAAGTATGGTAGAAGGTGCTCGTGAATGGACTAGGCCACTCCTCAATCTTTTTAGCCAAGGCTCCGTCAGTAGCGAGATTGCGAAGGGCTTTCTCAACGAGACTGTTCGGCCAGTTGAAGATTGGAGAGCTTGTATTCTTGATTGCTTTCGTCATCCACCTCAACTGTTGCATTTCGCTAGAGGAACGAGGGCCTTCCGTGGCAATGTAGTCAAACCCCGCATCCACCTCCTCGTCCGTCTTGTCCTCAAAGCGGGTATTGGTATTCTTCGCGGCAGAGAAGGTTTGGAGGTCAAAGACTTTGAATTGATAGCACCCCAAGTTCTCAAGGGTGTATTGGAGGATCTTTTTGCCTACCTTGGGATTTGCCGCCCGCCATCTGTAGATGTGAGCCTTGCCGTATACGGAGGCCAAGAAGAAGCAGGCTTTGCACTTGCTGGCGAAGACGAAATGCTTGATGATGTAGTGTTTCTCATCCGAAGTGGGAACGATGAAGATCTGCAATTTGGTATCCTTTGGGACAGACTGTCGTGGACAAAACGGTGCGGGAAGAAGACTCAGGTCGAGGTTGAGTATGGCTAACTTGTACTTCGCTTCCAGGTCACGGAAGTCGATGGTTTCTGCGTGGCTAGGGATCACATCGAACACATGGATGGAGGGGTTATCCGAAGGACCCATCTCCTGAAGCGGAAGAGTCATTGGTGTGAAGATGCCTGCAGGCAAGTGCAGGATTGCTGGAGACGTCACCGGCCTGCAGACCATAGGGTCTACCGTCTTCTGCAGGTCCTCATAAGACAAGTCCTCTGCCGCACGTGCCATGATGCAGAAAGCAGGACAGGAAAGTGCGGGAATGATACGCTTGATGAAGAAAGGTTGCTGCTAGGACAAGACATCAATGACAGATCTCACAATACAAACTTGGAGCAACGCAGCAACATGAGCATCATGAGCAAGTGCAAGAGACGTTTTGCTGGTGTCGCGGCGTGCATACATTGACGAACTTCTGCTGGGTGATACATCTAGGACGCGTGGCGGGAATCAGTGGCGTCGCCGTCGTGACAAGAACCACGAACTGCGAACCCTTCTAGAACACCAGATGCCAAGGAGGCAAGTGCGCTCGGCTGAGGCGCGTACCTGTGCAGAAGCGAAAAAAACCAAAAAAAACAAAAAAAAAACAAAAAAAACACAAAAACAAAAAACCAAAAAAAACAAAAGAACCGACCCCATATCACCGGGCGGCTCCGGAGGTATGGGGTTGGTTATTTTGTTTTTTTTGGTTTTTGTTTTTTTTGTTTTTTTTGGTTTTTTTGGTTTCTGAAATTACTCCATAAAACAGCAAGGCTTGTAACTTCTTACTTTGTTGTTGATCGTGCAGAACAATAGACAGACCTAGTTTTAGAGCACGGGCTTTGTTTTAGAACCGGTCTGGTGTAGCTAGTAAAGTAAGTCGCTTACTTCAAACGGGACTGTTGTGGCTGGTACTGCTACTCTTGAACCTGTAAAAACTCTTGAACCTGTAAAAACTGCTTATGTATACACGCCACAACAGTCCTTTCTGTTATTATAAGGATTGAGTATAGAGGCCTAACTAAATACCTATCTTGTTTTGGGGGTTCCTTCTTATGATTAAAGTATAATGGGCCCCAAAACCCTATTCTAACTATTAAGGCCCCTATATCATAGAACCCTAGTATAGATCCCGTACAGACCCCTTCAAGGAACCCATTTAAGGAGCCCTATTCTAATTATTGAGTCCCCAAACCCTTGAACGACCGCTCTCAGGAAAGCCTTAAACCCTAAAACCCCAAACCCCTAAAATGCATAGATTAGAAGCTGCCCCCACCCTGTAATAGTGACTATAAGGATTATGTTAGCACCCTATTATATTCCTATTATACCACTATTACAGGGTGGGCGCCCCTTTCTAACATAGATCCCTTAAAGGGACCCTTACAGTACCCTTTTAAAGGAACCCTAAATGCATAGATCCCTTTAAGGAGCCCTTATAGAACCCTTAAAGGAACCCATTGTAGATCCCTTAGAGGAACCCTTATAGTACCCTTTAAAGGAACCCTAAACCCCAAACCCTTAAAGGAACCCTAAAAGTACCCTTTAAGTCTTTGACGTGGAAGTGGTCCAGGGCCCCGGGCCTGCACTGCAGACCTCGTTCCTGCGACCCAAAGTAGGGTTTAGGATTTAGGGTCTAGGGCCTAGGGTCTAGGGTTTTATGGTTTAGGGTCTAGGGTTTAGGGTTCAGGGTTTAGGGCCTAGGGTTTAGGGTTTATGGTTTAGGGTCTAGGGTTTAGTGTTTATGGTTTAGGGTCTAGAGTTTAGGGTTTATGGTTTAGGGTTTAGGGTCTAGGGTTTAGGGTTTAGGGTCAAAAACCAGGACCCTCCCAATAGTGTATTGAGGGTAAATAAAAGGGTAGTTGGCGGGTCTAGCAGAACCTCATGAGTCGTGGCCTAGGTCACGCTCGATAAAAAGTATTGTTCATCTTTGTGTGGCCTAGGCCTAAGCATGTCAAACCTACGAGCGAACTTCACTGCTTGAAATTTAAAGTTTACAGCAGTTGTGGCGTTGCATGTCCAGATGTTGCACGGTGTCATTGATTACGATGGCCCTTTATAAACTTTCATGATTCACGGCACATGGTTGAGGGCTTCGAGGGCGGTTGGTTCATGTGTTTACGACCAGGCATGTCTACGGATAGCTAGAGGAGGTTGTCTGCGTTTGGACTGCACGCATTTTCACCTGAGCCCTACAGGTCGTCTCAAGTTTGAGTAGGGAGCTTCCTTTCTAGCCTCGGACAGGTCTTGGACGAAGAGGAGGTCACCTACAGCAGCTTGAATGCAACCCCAGACCGTTAAACCCGCAGAGTCTTAGAGCGAGTGAACTGTTTCCGCCACATATCATGAGACACTGCTGAATATGTTCGTACGTTTGCAACTGCATATCCTCAGTACGCGACTTTGGACTCACGATTGGCTGTGGGCTGCGCCGTGACGATGCCAAGAGTGAAAGTCAACTCCTCCTTCAACCAGATCTTGACAGGATTAGGGCTGGCAACTGCCAGTCCCGTGAACTACAGTTATCTGTGGACAGTTATCTGGGCAAACTTTCACACCACGCTGATCGCACAAGATCCGAACCTGGAGGTCAACTGGTTAATTCAGGTCGCAAACGGCATATACGCTGGCCCGCTCGGCGGGGCAGTGGCAGACTATCTTGACCATCAGGATGAACTCGCCTCAGGCAGCGTCGTCTACCTAGAGCTCCCTGATGGAAACACAGGGAGTGACGTGGCGGCGGTACGCTTCTTGCGCAGTGCAAGCCCTCCGCTGGCTGCGGAGGTGCAGACGGATGGAGGAATCAACACTGATTCTGTGCCCAGACTTACACATGTCTTTCTCGAGTTGATCTAAGCCCTTCAACCCCGATTCCCCGCAGGTTAAGGTTTTTGGATTGTTCTAGCTTGTTTTGGGCGGACTTTCGACACCAAGACTTCTTGTTGCTGGCTACGCTCCAGGCTGTGTCTGTACTGTGCATGCACCCGGAAATACGACGACCATAATGATATGCTTCGGCGTCTCTAGCTGTCGGTGGTTGTACATGACAGTAGGAAGTCCAAGGGAACAGTGGCCAGTGGTTCATGAAAACTGGTAGGGATAGATGATGGGAACTAAACCCCAAGCTTCCTAAACCCTAGATAATAGAACCACGCACTTCATTCTCTTCTTTCATTCCGTTTATGTTTTATTAATTAAATTAGGTAAAAGACTAAACCCTACCTGGACCCTAAGGAACCTACCTTTTTAAGGACTTATATAACGAAATCAGATTAGGAAAAAGGTAGGTTCCGTAGGGTCCAGGTAAACCCTAATACACGAAGCTTGCCTTGTTCAGCCTCGAACTTGCAAAGCCGGAAAGCAGAAGCCCGGCTTGCAGCCCCGAGCACTTAGGGGTACTTAGAAATAACTTAGAATTTTTGGTGATTATAATCCCTAAGAAACAGCTAGAATTATAATTTTTGCTAGGGTTCTAAGTTCAGTATAGAAAACTCATCCTCAATTCATTGATTTTGAAGCACCAACACAGAAGTATCCATGCCGTAGTAAGCATCAGGAATTTCCTCAATCGCCTTCCTACATTCATGGTGTTCAGTCATCTACTATACTCAAACAAACGAGTAGCCCTACTACAACACTCCTTAAAATCGAACTGAACCCTAAAAGGGCATAAGGTTCATCTACCAAATAGGGGTTCATAGTATCAGGGTATAGGGCCCCTAGTATTCAGGGCCATTAGGTCCTCAAGGAACCCGATACCCCCTAATCAAGGCTAATTAAGGATTATAGCTTTAGCTAAGAGGTCATAAACTTAAACCCTACAAACAGCCCAGCGGAATCTTAAGCCCTTAATGGAGCCCAAATGTAAGGTATATTCCTTGATTAAGGGTCATTGGGCTCTCTGGGAACCCTCCTGCCGGTGGAGCCAATAGTGCCCCTGCCCCGAGGTTGGCGACGGCGTCCAGCTCCAGAGGCAGAGCCGGCGAAGGCGGGGAGATGAAAGTTAGAGTTTGAGTTAGGGTTTAGGGCTTAGGGCTTTGGATTTAGGGTTTCAGGCTTAGGGAAGTTAGAGTTATATGTTATTTACTAATAATACCTATTTCATTTGTTTTGTTGTATAATACAGTAATTTGAGGAAAGTTAGAGTTACATGCTATACAAAGATATTACTATGTAAATTAGAGGTTTAGGTGGTATACTATATATTGCCTATAGCATTTCTTTATCTTGCATGGTCTCGTAAGTTGGAGTTACGTGTTATGCAAAAGATATTGCATCGTGCACGCTGTTATTGTCTAGCATTACATATTATAGGTGCTGGTAGGGTGTACATAGAGGTTTAGGCTCTGAGTTTTGGAATTGGGTTTAGGGGTACATCGCTTTGGGTTTGACAGCTTTTGCCTTCATGTAGGTTTTCAGAATACCCTAAGAGTCTTTCTCGCCTAGCCAGCCGGAGAACGTGATAGAACTGTCCACGCCCGTACGCCGAGAACTTGAACTTCTTGTTGGCCTGGTCGTTGAATCGCCTGGTTTCGGTATCACGGAGATGAGCACTGCATAATGTATGATATTGCGGGCCCCCAAACCACAAAACTATTGCTGGACAGGGGGTGTAGCGGCTGTGTAACCCCTAAGCCTGAAATCTCAAAGTCTATGAACCCCACTACTTCTGCCTCCGGAACCACAAGCGCACCGTTGTCGTCAAGAGGAGCAGGATATATTCTGTGAGCCCCATAAGCGACAAGAGCAAAACTGGAGACAAAAGCCAAACCACAAGTGTTACTTTTGTGTTTCAGGCCTTACTATCGTTTACGGGGCATCGGAGAGCAGCCCATGATAGTCAAGGGCTTGTGTAGCGGTTGCTTTCGAGGCATTGCCTTAGGGAGCTTGTTGCTACTGTTGATGAGCCAAGAAACAGCACAGTTGGTTCAAAACCCAAAATCTGAGCCCTGAGCCCTAACCCGACAAAACTGTCTCAAAGCTGTGTAAGCCCTTGATATCGTCGAAGCTCGGCCGCTCGGCCTTCGCCCAGTATACCTATAGTCTCGGTTGTAGCTCCTGTTTCTTTTGGTTAACCAAAATCTCTATTATAGGATCCTAACCATAAAACTGGATAACAACAGGGTTTAGGGTTTAGGGGGATTTAATTATCCCTGACTTAAGGAATGTTCATTAAATCCTATGAAGAATCCTCCTATAATTCATCAGTGAGGTATATTCGGGAGTTCCTCAGGTCGAGAAGCCTCCCATGCCGGAGCCGGATCTTGCACCCGAGCCGCGGCGTCACGCGCGGACAGCAAGAGAAGCAGGCAGCGGTCGTTCCCCAGAGACTGAAAATATCCCCTAGTGAAGGAATATACCTTAAATGATAGTAGGATCCCTGATAGGATTTGAGGAATAATTTTTCCTTAAGTAAGGGATATTGGAATCCCTTAAATCCTAAGCCCTATATAGATCCCTTAAAAGGAACCCTAGGTATTCCTTAAGCAAGGGATATTGGAGTCCACGGGTTCCCTCCTTTGTAAATCTGGCGTGTTTTTGTTTGTTGAGGGGGGCATCGTTTAGAGCTGACATGGTTTAAATTCCTCGTATTGCAAGCTAAACGTCCCAGCCCGAAACACTAGCCCCAAGCCGCTATTCGAAGCCTTCTAAAACTCTTTTAGAATGCTTTGTTTAAGACGGGAGCTTGACTGAGAGAAGCCTTTAAACCTCGCTGTAAAGTCCTTCGAAGGTTCTGCAGAACCTCAGCCGGATCCTGCGCCCGCTCCAGGCGTGTCTGTAAGATGGCCCCGTAAAGTTTGAGCTCTTGTTTAGGTTCACGGTGTAGAGCTGATGCGGTTTAGGATTTGAGGTATAGGACCTGTGGAGTTCATGATTTAGCTTAGGGTTTAAGGCCTAGGGCTTATGGGTCTTGTGGGGCTTTCAGGGTTGAGGTTTTAGTTCGTCTGAAGGTATCCTTGCAGTCCGACACTGTCTGAGTTGTTAGCTTTGTAGGCCGCCAGGTAGTATCCATCCAACGGTAAAAGGAGGGACCCTTAATATGGACCCATAGGTATATACCCTTAATATAGCTATTATATACCCATTATATAACCCATTATAGGGTAGGGGTCCCCATTAAGGGTCCCTCCTTTTCCCCTCTGAATCCAGGTCTACTCGTCTTAGTTGTCAGTGGATGTTCTTCTGTGTTGGGGTTAGGAGATTTGGGGTTGCTGAGCTTCCACGTCAGATTTGAGCAACAAGAGACTTAGGGGTACTTAGAAATAGTTTTTAATTTTTGGTTATTACAATCCCTAAGAAACAGCTAAAAATATAATTGTTGCTAGGGTTCAGATTTGAGCAACAAGAGAACGGAATCATCTTGGTTAGTTAACGTCTACCACGGAACTAGTGTTGATGGACAAAATCCTGCATGACCCTAAGGGCCCGAAACCATGGGAACTATGGTGTATTCCTTATAAAGGGTAATGCAGGATTTTGTCCATCAACAGTAGGGTCTAGGTTTCGGATTGTCAACACATTGGTACAGTTTAGGCTGTCAGGGTTTCCTCTTCCTCGACGAGCGCACACTTTGAGTGTTAAAGTAAAAGCCAGAAAGTTGGAATATGATTGTCTTAAACCCTTTATGGTAAATTATAGGGTATCCTACTCTGAAACCATATTCCAACTTTCTGGACTTCCCTTTACGTTCACGTGTTTCTCCCCCCACCCCCCCGGGCTGAGAATCCCCGGTGCCGAGATCAAAACGGTGACACCCCGAGGCATTCAGAAACCCCCATTCCCAAGCCCAACAAGTGGACAACAACGTCAGTCACTTCAAACAAAGCCCAAGTACCAGGGCCACTTGGAGGCCCAGAAGACTTAGTTATAAGTAGAGTTCTAAGTACCCTAAATGGAGATACCCCAATTATAACCCTACTTATAACCGACTTACTAAGTCCCCCGGGCCTCCAAGTACCACCCGGATGATCAGCATGACCCACCCCAAGAAAAGCCCAGACTTCAGATTTAGGTGCGCAGTGGGTAACCCTGTTTAGGCCTTGGCTTTAGGATGTGGTTTCTTGTTGTGTTGATTTTCCCCCCCTCGGGTTTTAGGGTTTTGGGTATGGGGATAGTATGAAGCCTGTGTTATGCCCTGAAGATTGATTATGTTGCTGCAGAGGGGAGCAAGTTTGACGATGAGGCGATCATGTAGACTCCTCATATGATCATTAGGCGCCTTTTTATTACTCTTTGTTCCTGTGTTCTTTTGGGGCCCACTTGCTGCTTTAGGTGTACGGTTCCGAATTCAGGACTTTCGGGATATAGTAAACCCTACACAGACAGCCGAAGCCCTAAACTATCTCCAGTCCCAGTGTCACAGTCACAGCTTCCTGTGTATAGTTTGTACTTTAGCAATCAATGAGCACCTTATTCCACATTTTCAGGCCCCTGTACTTTCCTGTATACCCAAAATTCCTCCCTGTCCCTGCGACAGCCGTGATTCGACAGGTTTATAGCTTGTGTGTCTTTGTGTTCACTCCAGTTTTGGATGCTGGGTATTGACGTCAAAGGCCCTACACTTCATCAATCCTCATCCGGGAGCATGGCATCACCAAGGACGACGAGTATGTGCACAATGCCTTCCGGAAGGGAGGTTCTCGCGTTCACTGCGCGTGTGTTGGCTGATGATGGGACTGATAGTCCGAGACCACCCAGAGACTCCAATATCCCTTAATTAAGGAATATTCCTTAAATTATTGTAGGATCCCTAATATGATTTAAGGAATATTCCTTACTTAAGGGATATTAGACTCCCCTAAGCCCTAAGCCCTATAGATCCCTTACAGGAACCCTTAAAGGAACCCTTAAAGGAACCCTTAAGGGATATTGGAGGACCCGGGCATGCCGCCCGAGGGACTGTGGACCGGTCCGCCGATCGACTATTGGATCTTGAGGCTATGCACAGCTTGGCTTATAGGATCCTTAAGGGGGGGTGGTTCAATGGGGGAGGGTACAAGGAATCCTTAGGGGAACCTTAGGGAGTACCAGGGAGAGTTAGGGATCACTAGGCTATATACCCCCCTTGGAGCCCCCTCCCTTAAGGATACTATAATTGGCGGCAGCACAGACGCCGCTGCAAGAAGACAGTTGAGCTTGTTAACACTGGGGGGGTATATTATGCTGTAGTTATAATAAGGAGCCCCCAAAACGCCCTACTCTAATTATTAAGGCCCCTACAGTACCCTTGTCGTCCCTACTGTCACAAACACCCTCTACTGCCCCAATACACTATACACCTTAGACCATGGAGGCGTGGGCAGCAGCAGTCATCCGTCAGCCGGATACGGCAAAGGCAGCAATGTTGGGCCGGGCTCGGGTGAGGTCTAGGGTTTAGGGGTTTGGGGTCTAGGGTTTAGGGGTTTAGGGTCTAGGGTTTAGGGGTTTAGGGTCTAGGGTTTAGGGGTTTAGGGTCTAGGGTTTAGGGGTTTAGGGTCTAGGGATTAGGAGTTTAGGGTGGGTTTTAAGCTTCAGGGGTTTCGGCTTTACGGGTTTAGGGTTTAAGGGGGTTTAGGGTTTAAGGTCAACCTTTCGCCATGACTTTTTCGATTTGCATGCGCTGAACCCAACGAAAAAACATTCAGCTGCAAGCCTTGATCCTTAGATCCTCAACTCTTCGGGCCCGCTGCACAGCAAGACAAGGCCCCTAAACTCTAAATTTTCAGCCATACAGCACAAGCCGTCAGTAAACCCCTGAACCGAAGATTTTGCTAGTGCAAAAGCCGGCGAAGAACTGTGGGCAGGTTCAAGGTGTACGGTTTAGTGTCTATACGCCACTTTTACCTAGAGTTCGGAGGCTTCGAAAGGCAGGCGTAGTAAAATGCCCTTTGTATCCCGGAGGGCTTTATGGGGTGGTCCATGGCTGGGTGTCCGGCAGTACCATCCCCTTTGGCTGAGGGGTTTTTGACATGGCGGAATAGTTGGAATCAGGGCACCCCTATATTGTTCAGGGGATACTGGGAACCCAACCTAAGCCAGAACCCTAACCCTAAACATAAGCCTTAAACTGTACATCGAGCCTATGTAAGATCTGCCCTATGTCGGCTACAGATTCACAAAACCCCGAGTCAACCATCGCATTGGACACCCGAGCCGAGTCTCATGATGTTCCCATCGACCGTCAGTTTTATGCACTCGCACGAAATTGATCATACGAACGAATACCCAGTAAAAGGTAGCAAGACTTGGAATGGCAAGCTTCAGAAGTGGAGCAACATCGCATAGTTACGTAGTCACTTCCATACTGTTCGTAAAGCAACCAGTGCAATACGGATGGTGAAGACAAGCATGAAAAGAACCTTCCTTCACTATTGCAGGATCTTAGACGACTGCGTAGTGGACAGTCGTGCTAGGAATTGCACATTATGAGCATACAGGCCACCCTAAACCCTTGTTGTTATCGGGATTGGAGGTGGGTTCTGCCGGATGTAAGGGCATGTCTGTTTGCGGCCATACCTGACGATGCTTTTGTTTGAGGATTCTAGGGATCTGAACTATTGAACAATGATTTCCCCTACAGTCATTCTTGTAGGACCAGACTACAAATGGTTACCCCAAAGCTCTATATCAGTTTTTAGGCCAGAAAAAGGCCCCTCAACCGGGTTTTACGGTTGTACTTGTTCGTTGAGACCCGAATCCCAGATGTGGTGGTAGCTCCCACGCTAATGCCCTTCCCTTCCTCGCTTCCCTTCCTTGTCCTCCCTCTTTCCCCCTCTCCCTCTCCTCCATCGCTCGCGGAGGTGTCCTGGCCTTGGCGAAGCTTGAGAAACTTGGCTTTTCTCAGACTTGGGGTTATAGGGCTTACGGCTTTGGATGCTTCCGGCGTAAATAATAGTATTCCCCTCGCGACACAGCTATAACCCATACTTTCAGGGCTTATAGGGTATAGGGCATTTAGGGGAAGCTGGAGTTAGCTCCCACCTCGCTTTGATGTTCGAAGCCATTGCAAGCCTGTTGAAATTGGAAGGCTTCGAGGTGTGCCGGGTAAAGACCTAGTAGTAGAGTAGGTAACCTTGAACCTTTTTGGTAGTATAGCCCCTATATATAATCCCTATGTAACCAAAAAATAGCCTTTAGTTTATGGGCCCCTAATAAGGGCCCATACTAAGGGGCACATGGTTTCAACCGTTGAATTAAGGCGCACACATCACCCAAGACCCTTAAGCCGGCACCATGAGCCCGGACCTTCATCTCCAAATGTGAGATCATGGGACATACGAATTAGGGTTGCGAATAAAGTAACCATACCTAATTAGGGTTATTATAAATAAGGTAGCCATACTTATGATAAACAGTTACTTTGAACCCCACTCCAGGTAGTTATACCCTTACTTCCTTCAGCACATGAACCTCCAAGTAACCGTTAATTCTGAAGCCCTCGGCCCGTCCTTAAACTGCCAACGTGTCCCTCATACCTAAGCCTTGTCTTTTCAATGTTCATCATCTCTCTTCATTTTAAGTTGCAATGACTGAAACTGTCTCTGGCCGCCGAAACGAAAAGCCCAACACTTTTCTGGATCGCTGAAAGCATGCCTCTAGGCTCGAGTTCGAAAACCAAAGACTGCACCCTGCCCTACGCCCCAAAACCCTAAACCCCCTAAAGCCTGAAACCCTAAAAACGTCTCAGCTCTAAATCCCTTAACCCCAAAGCCCTAGACCACTCAAAGCCCCGAAACCCTGTAACTTAAAACCCCTGAACCCCAAAGCCCTCAAACCCTAAAACCTACAACCCCTAAACCCTTAAGCCCTCAAACCTGTGTGCCCCAAGCAGCGTCACCCCAAAATCCCTCAAACCCCCCAAAAACCTAAACCCTAAACCCAAAATCCTTCAAACCCCCAAAACCCCAAAGCGGGGCGACGCCGAGGACTGCAAAGGCATCTGCTCCTTCCCCGCCCTCTGCTCCAACGAAGAACCCTGGGCTCCCCCAGAAGGTTTAGGGTTTATAGGGCTCTAGGGTTTAGGGGTTTAGGGTTTGGGGGTTTAGGGTTTAGGGTTTTAGGGTTTAGGGGTTTAGGGTTTGGGGGTTTAGGGTTTTAGGGTTTAGGGTTATACAGTTTTTTTTGTTCGTATAAACACAAGAGAATGTTGAAATTATTATGTTTCTTATGGGTCTGAGGGGGGTATAGCCACAAGGTTTTGGGGTTTATAGGGGTTAGGGTTTAGGGGTCTTGAGTGTAGGGTTGTAAAGTTTAGGCTTACAACAGGCCTTAAGGCTTAAATGGATTAGGGTTTAGGGCCATAGGGAGTATTAATGGCTTTAGGGTTTAAAGCCTAGAGTTTAGGGAGGGTTTATAGAGCTTTGAGTTTAGGGCTCAGGGTTTAGGGGTCTTGAGTGTAGGGTTATAAAGTTAGGGTTGTAGGGCTTAGGGTTTAGGGCTCAGGGTTGAGAGTTGAGGGTTTCGAGAAGGGAGCCAAGAAAGTACCCAAACATAAACTTGTGGGTGTGATATCCCAGCCTGATTGGCTTACTTGAAGAAGGGATTTTTGGGATATCTCAAAAACCCTAAACCCTAAACCCTAAACCCTAAACCCTAAACCCTAAACCCTAAACCCTAAACCCTAAACCCTAAACCCTAAGCTTGTGGTTTTTGCTTAGGTGCTTGTCTGGGTCCCTATGAGGTTTGGGGCCTTGGGGCTCAGGGATCTGGGGTATAGGTTAGAAGCTGCCCCCACCCTGTAATAGTGACTATAAGGATTATATTAGGGCCCTATTCTATTCCTATAATATCACTATTACAGGGTGGGGGCAGCTTCTAAGGTATAGGGCTCAAGAGCTAGAGGGTTTGGGGCTTAAGGGTTTCGGCTGCAGGGTTTGAGCCCGAGGGTTCTTCAAGTGTGTTTGAAGGGCTTTCGCAGCTATTTTCTGCGGTTTCCGCATGGTCTTAAAGGGCTTCAGTTTTTTACTTACACAAGGCTCTAGTAAGGTTGGTGTTGTATCGGGTGGTACAGGGATTAGGGGTTTAAGTGAGGTTGAGGTCTTAGTGGTTTGGTCTTGCGGGGCTGAGGCCGAATTCAGGGTTTTCCTGTGAGGGAAGAACATGTTTCAGAAAGATGACGGCAACAGCAATAGGAGTAGAAACGACGAAGCAACGGTGACGGCGCAGCAAAACACTGACAAGGTCATCAAACGCAACATCAGTGAGGCAAGTAAGGTTGTACACGTTTTCGCTGCAAACACGGTAATCCAAAACTTGAGCTGCCGTCGTAGTCAGCTCCAGTAACACCATCAGGAAGAATCATAATGCTAAGACGGCTTGTGTACGCGTCTTCCGCATTTGCGTTGGAGATGGCCGGTTACAACCACATCGGCAAAAACCGACACCAGGACTTCAATGGAAGCAGCAACTCTAACATCCAAAACAATAGCAGGATCCACCCAACATGAGAAAAGTAGCGAGACCGACAGCGGCAGTATCCGTGGCTGCAGTGACGACAACAATGATAGGAGCCACGGCAACAATGACAACAACAGACGCTCAAACTACAAACTTAGCACTGGCAACATCAAAGTATCCAAGGGTAAAAGGAGGGACCCTTAATAAGGACCCCTAGGTATATACCCTTAATATAGCTATGATATACCCATTATATAGCCCATTATAGGGCAGGGGTCCCTCCTTTTCCCCTTCGAAAGTACAACGAACAGTCCACCCGGGATGCACAACAGGATGGCTCTGGTTTCATCAGGTTCCTTACTGCAGACTCTCTTGCTTTCCGGCTTTGTTCTGATTACCAGCGCTTCTATCGTCATGACCTCCGACGTGGATTTTGATTATACCTCATCTTGTTCCCACAGCTTTGATTAGCTCTTCGGGTGTTCATTCTCTTTATTGCTTTCCTGGTAAGGATTGACTTGGAGACGGCGGCGAGCCGGTTTCCAGAGCCACTGCAGCGGGAGCTACTCGGCTGATTTGAGGCAGGGGTGGAAAGATGAATAATACTATCTAATGTTGTTGCTATCATGTAAGACCTGTGCTTGTGTTTCTTTCGATCATCATGGCTCCCATTAAATTGCGGTTACTGCTTACACGTGCTACTAGCAATTTAGCAGTTGAGGTGGGAGACATTGAACCTTCTTGCGCTTGATATAACAACACAACAGAACTGACACGATTACGTCTTTCTAGGCCTTCGGACTAAACAGCTAGGTCGATACCGTTGCTGCTTCGCTGTCCTAGTCGTCATTCGGCTGGGGTTTGTCTGAGAAGAGCGTGAAGGTATCATCCTAAACCCCATAAGCCATACGAGAGGCCCCTTTAAACGGGTTTAGGGTCAGTTAAGGGTTCCTTAGGTCCTTTAAGGCTTTAGGGTCCGGGGTTCAGGGTTTGAGATCTAGATTTACCGTTGAGGGTTGCGGATTATTGCTCAGAGATTTCAGACCTGTATGGCGTTGGCCGTGGCATTCGCGCGGCGGTTCATACGTCTATCCTCCTAGCTGTGAAGGAAGAACCACAAGAACAGCACGAATGGTTTCTACACCCCCGCGACCTGAATAGTTAGAATTTGGGTGTGGGTATACTATAGCATACCTATGTAGGGACTTGAAAGAGCAAAAATAGTCCGAAACCCGTTTCAAAAACATGGACACTGTGGAATCTTTCTTGCAAGGGGATCGTGAGCTGCAGATGATCACTTGCAGCTTTCCACATACCACAAGACCTTTGCATTCCCAAGCTCAGGTGGGTTTGCAGCCAGGCCATCCGACATCCACAGATGTGCGTTCGAGTAGCAACTGCTAAGGCAGAAGCAGAGGTAGTGATAGCAACATCACGGCTGACGGATGACTATGTTGATGATGATGGCAGCGATGGTGGCGATGAGGATGATGATGAGGGTCTGCTTCGTCATCATCATCATAAACAGCGATGACGTCATGATGACTGCCTGCAGCAGTACAAGCATTTTCGGTGTAAGTCAACGTCTTCATCACCACTAGCGATAGCAGCATAGAGGCTCAGGGGCTAGGGGTAAATGTCCTGACAACAAGGGAGTCCCCATTCCCTAGGGCCAAGTTTTCAGGGTAACGTCAGGCAAAAACAGATCAAAAGTATACTACATGGGGGCCACGTATACGATCTCCCTAAGCCATTATAACCTACCAAAAACTTAAGCAGACCTGTCAGTTCATTAACAGGAATCACATATCATACCCACTGTCTGGGTTCCCCAGAAACCCCTTAACAAGACTACCCTGCCCCGATGTATTCAGTTTTTACATTGCGAAACCCCTTGTAGGCAAGGAGATTGCAATATTATCACACGAAGGGCATGCCAATATGTAGGGACCTAGTCTGCAGGCTGTGTTGAATTCCTGGACATCCGAGGTGTTTTTGCATATAGGTTTGTAGTTTACCGGCTAACCTTAGGGCTTCGATGTTGTGATTGCTGTCTTTATTACTCAAAGGCTCATGCGACTTACTAAGTCAGGTTTTAAGTGGGCTATAATTAGGATAACCCCACTTACGGGACTCATAACCCCGACTATAATCTACTTACTAAGTCTCATGATCCTTTAAGTAGGAATCAGGCATTCGGGCTTTCAGTTTTAGTGCTTGAGGGCTTGGGCTCCTGGGGTCTGCAGAGGCTACGGCGGTAGCCGGAAGGTGTACTTTGTGCATACTTGTCTGTGGCAGCATATGGGTGGTTGTCAGAATTATGGTTCCTATCCACCGTAATTACATTGTCGCTGGGGGTGCTGGCCTGGATCCTGCTGAGTGGAGGAGTCCAGCAGGAGGCGCAGCCGTTTCCGTGTATAACCCAATTGGGGAAGCGCTCCCAGCATGCCTGGCATAAGGAATATGCTTTTAAGTCAAGCATGAGGGACTGGACTTCATAGTATGATTTAAGTTTAAGCTCTACACCTTAATTAAGGGGTATTGGGCTCTCTGGATGCCTCTCTCCGGAGCGAGGGCTGTTCCAACGGGAGCCGCCGGACTAGGAAGACTTAGTAGCTGAGTGGATACACTTGGGATCCTTAAAGGGCTCCATAAAGGGATCCTTAAAGGGATCTATAAGGCTTCTATAAGGAGGGTCAGGAGCCTTAGAAAGTAACTTAGTAGCTGCGTGGATACACTCTACAGTTTTTGGGACAATACAGTTTTTGGGACAATACTAGCCGCTATAACTCTGAAAGTGTACACTTTTCGGGCCTTATGAACCTAGCAACTAAGAAGAGCACGTTGAGCGAGTGACGAGGATGCGGCGACGCAAGCGGGCCCGCAAACAGTATGCCAAGATGAAGGACGGGAATGTTATCAACGAAGGATCCCAGGAAACGCCCTCCGTGAGTCCATGAGCATGTGAGACCTACCGGAGTGGTTCGCAAAGAGTGGCCACCCCGAGGTAATTAGATAAGCGAGACAGAGGAAGCCACGACGCTCGCTTCATGGGGCGTCACTGCTGTGGCTTACGTTTGAACTCGTGGTGCAGTTGCAACTGTTCATGTACAAAGGGTACGACCTTTGTGGGCACCTTGAGCTTTGCATGGTTCTGCCATTGCTTACACATCTTGGTACCCTTGTACAATGGTTCTGAATTTGTGTGTATATATAGACACACATATTATACACACAATTTTGTCCTGGGGTTTCCTTCTTAACGTTGCATAGTAGGCAAAAGGATATCCTTCCTGAGGGGATACCTTGGAACCTAGGAATTGTTGACCTGAAAACGACTGCAAACGCTCAGCCGCCGTAAAGCTTGAACGGTTTTGGCGTTTAGGGTCTAGTTTGTTTTCTAGGTTTTGTTTGAGTTCGGAGGCAGACAATATCGATGGTGTTAGGGGCAAGTTCCGGCTTGTAAGGTCGAGGGTTGTAGGTTTGCAGTATAGGGCTTTGCGCCGAGATCCCAAGTCCAAAAAGCGGAACCCAGAACCGCAGGTACAGCTGGTTACCTACGACGGCAGCGCGCCGTCGATTCGACCCGGGCGCCTCTGCGTCAGCACAGGCAACGAAGCTAAATGCCAGTTTGTTCGCGCATGTTATCTGCACCAAGAGTCAAGAGTAACCGCCTAAACCCCCCTAGGATTCACCTGCAGCAGCCACAGAATGCAGAGAGATTAAGGGCTCCTTTCTGGAGTCTTCAAGTGTTTTATACCTGAAAGACGAAATGAACCCTAAAAGGGTTTAAGGTTCATATACTATGTAGGGGCTCATAATATAAGGGTACAGGGCCTCTACTTTTCAGGGACATCTGGTCCTGAAGGTACGGGTTGTTTTGGCGTTTGGGGTTTCGGGGTTTTCATATAGAGGCCTGAATGATTACCAAGACCATTCCTCACGTGTCCTTATCATAGATTCACTACAATCCAGATTTATGGTCTGTCCTAATCATTGTAGGCCCTTATATTATCGTATAAAGCAACATGTTACGTGCCCTTAGCTGCTAGGTCTACGGCATATCCCTCAAACACCCGGCGAATTGATTCACACAGATGCACTGCGGACCAGAACTACCCAAGCCGAACTACTCGAAAGTCCTGACCTAGATCTACCTGACTGGTCGTTGAATCGAATCATATTGCGATTCCCTCTATCTTTCAGGCTAACCCCATAAGTACAAGTGCAGTGACTTTCCTGGCTTTGTGCAACCGTCTAAGGCGGCTAGTTATTATGCGATACTAAGATGGGTTTAGCGTTTCGGATTTAAAACTAATGAAAGCGGACAAAAAGTTTGAAGCTTCGACTGGTAGGAAGCAACCAGCGTTGCTTGGATGCACCTTGAACGCTGGAAAGATTAGGCATTTTATGTTTCATGCTGCATCAAGGACACTGATTGAATCCTGCAAAGCCACCCGCAGGAGCCGACCACAACCAACCCTAAACCTCGAGTGCCGACACCTTTCAAAATCTGGATCTGAAGCAATGGAAACGCCCCCAACCGCTGCACTCCCAAAAGCACTGCACTCCCTAAACCGAAAATGACCTAGACGTAGATCCTAGAGCCCTGACTGAGGATCTGCCATAACTCCCTAATAGTTTGAAACAGCGTGCATCTAGTAGTGCTTAAGGTTTAGGTCCTAGGGCCCACGATTCCGTCGATGGGTTCTGGGATTCGCGACCAGATTGACTGGAAGACCCCATGGAGATTATCCTGAACATGCCTGCGTCCCCTTTCTCCTGTCAGTCTCTGTCTGCGCTTGCGATCACGTGCAAGAAACTCCTTGGAGGGCAGGGAGACTTAGTAAGTAGTTCGTTTATAGTCGTGTAAGTATCATAGCCCCAATTAGGATGCCATTTAGGGTACTTATATCCCTACTCACTACCTACTTGCTAAGTCCCCCGACCCTCCGAGTCAAGCCGCTGCAGTTGAGCGATCTATATAGTTCGCTCTATGAATGTTCACGAAGCCGCAGAATCTCAACCCTACGACCAAGACCGCGAGTATGTCGGAGTTCCTTCATGCGTGACCACCTTGGTCTTGAATGGTTCACAACTCTACAGATGCCGGCGGCCATGGAGCGTGGGAATCGCGCACAAACACGTTCTTATGAGGTATGTTGCTGGTTTTTCGACATTTCACTTCAATACAAGGAAAAAGTAGAAAGCCTGCCTGTTTGTGCCTTCACTTTCAGTTTGGGTTTGCGGTTTCAGGACTTTCAAGACAGAAGATGGTTGGCTTTCCGGTTGGATCTTCGGCTGCAGGGCTTCTACACAAGAACTTGCGGCTTCATGGTTTCTGAGACAGAAGTTGGTTTTACTTCCAGTTTGCAGTTTTGGCCTCTGGGTTCCTAAGGCAGAAGTTGCCTTTACTGTACCGGTAGGGATATGAAGACCGCTCGAAAATACAATTTTGGGGAGGAGGTGAACACCGCAAGCCCAAACTGTGGGGGGACAAGATCCCTACATCATAAGCCCGAAGCCCAAATCCTGAAACCCTAAGCCCTCAAAAACCCTGAACCCTAAACCGAAACCCAAATCCTGAAACCCTAAACCTTCAAGAACCCTAAACCCTAAACCGAAACCCTAATCCTGAAACAGCAGGTGACGAGCCGACTGCTCCCAGCTGGCTGCTGGGCTGGCTGAAGGGCAAATGCTCTGCAGCCATCGAAGCTCGGAGCAAGTTTTGGAAGGCGTTTAGGGTTTAGGGGTGCCTTTAAGGGACTAGGTTGGATTTTGGGACATTTTTTCCTTATTTGGGTTTATAACGGGCGCAACCATATATAAATATATTTCAGGGCGTTTAAAGGCCAACCCAGGGGATACTTTACAAGATACTACAAGGGATTAGTACAGGGGCCTTTTAATTAGTAGTCGACGCTCGGAGCAACCTTCGAATTCAGTGTTCTTTCACGTTTCGGGGTTCTCACTGTTTGAGATGCGGGTTGGAGTTAAAGGCTTTGGGGTTTGGGTTTTTCACATGTGAGCTGCTCTGGGTGTTTTCTTCCTTTGTAAAGGCCTGAACAGTGCAGATTTAAGGCCTGAGGAGGATAGGGTAGGTTTCAGGGTTTTGGTATAAAGGCCATTATCGTCGAGATCTGATATCATCTTCTTAACGATATACCTCGTACTATAGTACGCCCCCGACCCTTCCTGAAACCCGATGCCTTAAGGCCGAATGCTTATAAAGCTAGAAAGAAAGAGAGCTCATAGAAACCGTTAAACCCTAAACCCTAAGCCCTAAACCCTATAAACCCTAAGCGCTAAGCCCTAACCTTACAGGACTGCTCACAGCCCCTAGCGCCTGTAGAGCCCAGAAGCGAACCCATCTTTCTGTCAAGGCCCCTAAACCCCACATCCTAAACTCAAAGGGGAAAAGGAGGGTCCCTTAAGGGGGACTCCTACCCTATAATGGGCTATATAATGGGTATATTATGGCTAGATTATAAGGGTATATACCTAGGGGTCCTTATTGAGGGTCCCTCCTTTTACCCTTGGATAAACCCTAAACCGTAAACCCTAAACCCCTAATAAACCCCTAAACCCTTAACCCCTAAACCCCACATCCTAAACCCTAAACCTCTGTCTTATGCTCAGGCCAGCCTTTACGCCCAGAGCTGGTTGCAGTCTGAGCTGAAATGGGAGAAGGAGGCCCAGAAGCTTGGTTAAAGGTTTAGGGAGGCTTGAGGGTTTAGGGTTGAGGGTTTCCTAGGAGATGCAGTCAGCAGGTCTTATGGCTTAGGGTTTACGGTCGAAGGCTAAGGTCTTATTTGTTTGCGATGCCACATAGCTTCTAAGGAGTACCCAGCGTCGGATTCCGGAAGTGGGGGAACCTCTGAAGCAGTTCCTCGCGGTTTAGGGCTGAGTGTAGGGGTCTGAAGGACTCGTCCTACTAGTCCGTCGGGTTCCCACATACTTACGTGAAAGTAGCCATACAACACACACACACACATATACACAGCTCTGTCCATCCATCCACCCTCCCCCTAGACATGTTAATTTTTCTAATAACTTAGCACGTGCATACCGTGTATACATATGCATACTGCACCAAACCCTAGTTCATATTCTGGAGGCCTCTGCATACGGGCCTTGAGGACCTCGAGTGGGCTTCGGGTTTTGGGATTTGGTGTTCAGGGCACGAGGCTCTGGGGGCTATTACAGGATATTACAGGTTTAGGTGTAGGAGTGTAGCATACTAAGCTCCTAAACACTACCTTAACCTACCAAAACCTACTTTTTTGTAGGGTCCTTGGAAATTCCATATTAGGGTTAATAATAAGAACCTACAAGAAAGTAGGGTTTGGTAGTTTAAGGTAAACCCTATACACCCCATTTACTGAGTTGCGGGCTTAGACTTAGGGAGGCCGCTTGCGGTACGACCCCTTCGGGATTCAATTCGGGCAGTTTGTGCCTGTTCACCCTTTGAGTCCAAGCAAGGTTTATAGGGGTTTACTTAGGGGTACTTAGAAATAATTTTTAATTTTTGGTTATGACAATCCCTAAGAAACAGCTAAAATTATAATTTTTGCTAGGGTTCTAAGTTCAGTATAGTTTATAGGGTTAACGATTATGAAGTATAGGCACTTTAAGGTCCAAGGTTTGTAGGTGTTTATAGGGTTTACGGTTATTAACTAATATGCATGTGGGAGTCACTGGGGGCCGGCAAACCCCAAGCCCACACGAGACCCCAGGCCTGCGAAATTCCTGAGCCTAAACCCTCGTGCGATTTCTGGGTTAGGTTTAGAGCCCGGACACCTGCGCTAACTTTTTGGTGGGCTCGGGGTTAGGATCTTGCAAGCTTTTGGCTTATGATCTCAAGCAAACTTGAAAGACCCGTCCTTCGATGAGGCGGCAAAGACTGCCGCGCCCTCCCCCCTCGCCGCCGTGGCAGGCCAGGCTTGCAAGTCTAGGATGCCCAGTAGTACCCTTATTCCCTTTTTGTAGTCCTAGGTTCCTTATAAAGTTACCCAATACCAAAAAGAGAGGCCTTTCTATTCTTAGGTTACTGGGTATCCTAGGCGACTAGAAAGGGACCTCATAGACCCCGTAAAAAATCGTAAGTAAAGGAACCTTTGCAGGAACGTTTATAGAAACCCTTGTGGGTTGATTTCTTATTATAAACTCCCAACGCACTATGTCGTCCGATATCTAGCACGTCAGTAGAGTCAAGAATCGAGAACCCAACCAAGCTTGAAAAGGAAGCCTATATCATCGTGAATATTATTTCTTCGGGTTCCCCTTCTCGGAGCCATATTGTAATAATGCACCCCAAAGCCCTGTTCTAGTTATCATGGCCCCTGTATTTACACGGTCTTGTAGGACTTGATGAGCTTTCGTAGCTACAAGTTTTATGGTGGAGATCTGAACAGTTATCAATAATATAGAAGGTTCTGCATGTACTCATAGGATGTTAGATATTTTAGTGGCTTAGGAATATAATTGTCAACATGGCATTAGTATGACTAGTTTCAAAAGGCCTTCATGTTTCACGATTCTCCTTCATTGCAACTGCCTCACTATCATGTTTCTCAACTTCAGCTTTAACTCCAGTACTTGAAGGCTCATGGGACTTAGTAAGTAAGGTCATAAGTAGGTTATAATAGGGATAACCCCACTCAGGGGACTTATAACCCCAATTATAACCTAATTACTAAGTCCCATGATCCTTCAAGTAATTAGCCCCTAGTCCGAAACACCAAAGTGTTGGAAAAACCGAGATCCACAGCCCCGAACCCCAAACCCTGCACCCTGCACCCCGCACGCTAAAGCACCGAGGCACCACAGACATGAAAAACACGCCACCTTAACCTACCAAAACCAGCTGACCTACTGTTTTGTGGAGCCGGCCCCTTTTTAACGAGAACTTTCAGAGCAGTAGGTTACGCTAGCTGAAGGTAAACCCTCAACCTCCGTAAGCAGCCTCTCCTCAGGTCTGATTGGCGATCCCACGCAGATTTCGGTGCCTTGGCTGCATTTCGACGAGTTTTCAGAGCCTGGAGCGGCTAGGAGCCTTAGGACTTGTAGGTTAGAAGCTGCCCCTACCCTGTAATAGTGGTATAATAGGAATATACTAGGGCCCTAGTATAATCCTATATAATCCTTATGGTCAGTATTACAGGGTGGGGGCAGCTTCTAACTTATAGGGTTTAGGGTTTTGGATTTTGGGTTTAGGGCTTAGGACTTATAGGGTTTAGGGTGTTGGATTTTGAGCTTAGGGCTTAGGGCTTAGGACTTGTAGGGTTTAGGGTTTTTCCCTTTTGGGTTTAGGGCTTAGGACTCACAGGGTTTAGGGTTTAGGGTTTTCGATTTTGGGTTTACGTTTTAGGGGTTTAGGGTTTTGGGGTATAGGGGTTTAGTGGTTTAGGGTTTAGTGGTTTGGGGGTTTATAGGGTATACAGCCCAAAGCCCGACTCAACAACAAAGAGCGTAGGGTTCACGCTTCAGGGCTTCTATATAACCCTAAACCCTATTTAAAGGCTCGTGGGACTTAGTAAGTAAGGTTATAAGTAGGTTACAAGTAGGAGAACCCCACTTGAGGGTCTTCTAACCCCAATTTTAACCTACTTACTACGTCCCATGATCCTCTAAGCAACTTAAACTCCCCCTGATAGATCCCTTAAAGGAGCCCTTTAAGGAACCTTATCGCTAAGTCCCATGAGCCTCTAAGCACCGGAGAGAAACATCCCAGAGACTCCAATATCCCTTGATTAAGGAATATTCCTTAACTTATGGTAGGATCCCTAATATGATTTGAGGTATATTCCTCAATTAAGGGATATTGGAGTCTCTGGGATCTCCGAGGAGGCGCTGCACTTACCTCCGAATGAGGCGGCAGCCCAGGTGGAGAAACGTTGGGCTGATAGCGAGAGACTCCAAGATCCCTCAACTAAGGAATATTGAATATTCTTTAAACCATATAAGGGATCGTACTATACTTTGAGGTATAATTATTCCTTAATTAAGGAATATTCCTTATACCATATTAGGGATCGTACTATAAGTTAAGGTATATTTCTCAATTTCGGGATATTGGAGTCTCTGGGTAGCTGGGTGGGCCGTTTGATCATGGGTTAGGGATTTCGGGGTTTGCATTCAGGGGTTTCAGGGTTTAGGGTTTTAGGGTTTAGGGTGGGGAGTTTGGTCATGGGTTAGGGATTTAGGGCTTAGGGTTTAGGGGTTTCAGGGTTTAGGGTTTGAGGGTTTAGAGAGGACGGTTGATCATGGGTTACCTTTAACCAAATAACCTAGCGTTTTAAGGACTTATGTAAGGAGACTATAGTAAGGAACCCCGCCCCCCAAACAGATAAGTTTCTTAGGGTCCAGGTAGGGGTTGCGTTTTTTGGGTTCCGTGCTCGGTTGGATGATTATTAGTCTCCGGGTGAGCTTGTTTCCTTTTTTGTTGTGGTCTTAGGCTCCATTTAAAACTACCCAACACAAAAGAAACCTTTTCATTTCTCGGCTACTGGGGATCCTACTTAGTGCTCAGTCTGTTCCAAAGTTGGTTTTACAGGGCCTCTATATGGGTAGTTGTCAAAATTATGGTCCCTTTTTGGGTACCCTAACTAATATAGGTGCCGTATTATAATAGGGACCCCAAAAGGTACCACATTTTTGACAACTACCCATCTTACACCTCATGCTTCAATTGTGTCAAGGCCACCTAGATAGCACTTATATAGGGCCTTAGAGTCTAAGAGTTTAAGGGTTTAGAGTTAAGGGTTTAGGGGTTTAGGGTTTTAGGGGTTTAGGGTTTAGCGTTTAGGGTTTAGGGTTTAGAGGTTTAGGGTTTATGGTTTAGGATAGGGCCTCCTCTACTGCTTTCTTCAAGGGATGTACAAGGGCTGAGGTTCTCAGAGGCCCAGCACTCCGTATTCAAGCTATATATCTCAAATCATAATATGAAGGGTGAGGGGGGTGTGGGAACACGGGCTTGTATTTACCCGGTCCTTATGAGGCGTATGGAAGCACCATACCCCCCTCCCCACGCTAAACTAAAACCTAAACCCTGGCATCTGCAAGAGTTCTTATGACATGAGGGTGTTGCGAATTAAGGTTTCGACTTTCAGAATCCTTTGAGAACTTGACCGAAGGTGCAGTCGAACCCTTACCAAAACCACAGACCCTCTGGCATGCGTTCTACCAAAGCAAATTGCTGCGAAGATCTCTACAAGCCTTCTCCGAGCTGCATCCCTGTAGTAGCCCTTATAGGAACCTCTTACAGGAACCCATATGGTTTGAGGATCCCTTAGATATCAGAGGCCCGTTTAGGAACCATTACAGTAACTTGTAGAGGATCCCTTAAAGGAACCCTTAGAGAAGCCCATAGATCCCCTGAAGGAAAGCTTAAAGAATTCCCTTAAAGGAGCCCTAAGTGATCTCTTAAAGGAAAACTTAAAGGATCCCTTAAAGGAGCCGTTAGATCCCTTAAAGCCTTGAAGGAGCCCCTTAAGGGAACCCTTAAAGGATCCCTTGAAGGAACCCCAGAGCACCTGAGTGAGCCCCTAAACCCTAAACCCCTAAACCCTAAACCGCCTTAACCCTCTAAACCCTAAACCCTAAACCCCGAAACCCCTAAACCCTAAACCCCTAAACCCTAAACCCTAACCCCTATACCCTAAACCCCTAAACACTAAACCCCCTTAAAGGAGCCCTTGAAAGAACCTCACAGCACCTGAGTGATCAGAGACTCCAATATCCCTTAATTAAGGAATCTTCCTTAAATCATATTAGGGATCCTACTATAATTTAAGGTATATTCCTTAATTAGGGGTATTGGAGTCTCTGAGCGATCAGGCCGTGCTTAGCATCCTCCGGGCTGCCAAGAAGGAGGCACGGACGGCTCCAGGAATAGTCTACTTAAAGGCTCATGGGACTTAGTAGGGTTCCTTTAAAGGGCTCCTTAAAGAGATCTATAGGGTTCCTTAAAGGGATGTATGGGGTTTAGGGTTTAGGGTCTACTTAAAGGCTCATGGCACTTAGTAAGTAGGTTATAACTGGGGTTATAAGTCCCCTAAGTGGGGTTATCCTAATTATAACCTACTTATAACCTTACTTACTAAGTCCCATGAGCCTTCAAGTGAGGGACAGGCTCAGGGTCAAGAAGCTTTGGGTTTCGGGGTGGCGGAAAATGTGAGCAACCCTTGGTGGCTCCTTTAAAGGGGATGATAAGGGTTCCTTTAAAGGGCTCTATAAGGGTAAAAAAAGGGTTTAGGGAGCAATCTAAGGATTCCTTTAAGGCTTTAAGGGTTTAGGAGTTTAGGGTTAAGGAGTCTAGTTTACAGTAAACCCCATAAAAGTTGGAAACCGGATTAAGGCCAAATAGTGCTGGGATGCCCTGTACATTACTGTTAAGGATTGAGGCTATGGGGTTTCCAAATTTTGGGCTTTTACTGTAACCCCTTAAACCCTAAGCCGGTTGAGGGTTCTGGGTTTTCGAAGCCTTGAGTCAGTATCTAGGTACTATGGGTTTGCACCTGTCATTACTCTAGATGCCAGAGAGTCGAAACATCCTGCTCGCAATGTCCTCAAGACACCAGTATTGCAAATTCCATGACCAATCCTCCTTAATCAATCCATATTCCAACTTTCTCCAGGTGGGGGTTCGGTTTACAGTAAATTCCATAAAGTTGGAAACCGGATTAAGGCCAAATAGTGCTGGGATTCCCTATACATTAATCATTAATCTTAAGGATTGAGGCTATTGGGTTTCCAACTTTTGGGCTTCTACCATAGGGTTTGATGAGGATTTAGGGTTTCATGGTTTGAGTTTCAGGATTCCTTGCCTGAAGTCTCTGGAGTATCTTAGATCCCCAATACCTAACCTTTAAACTTTTGGGGTTCTTATAGTTTAATAGGAACCGGAAAGTTTAAGCTTTTATTTCTGTGGCTTGTTGGGGCAGTAAGGTAGAGGGGCGACATGGACAGCCGGCGGCTAGCAGCAGACTGGCGACAGCACTTTCAAACAGTGTAGTGCACCGAGACACCTGCATCCCTCGATCCCCTGTTACCCCAAGCCCCCTATACCTTAAAGGGAACTCCAGAAAGTTGGAAAATGGATTAATGGTAGGATCCCCTATAATTTACCTTAAAGGGGTTACGATAATGATATTCCAACTTTCTGGCTTCTACTGTAGCCGCAAATCCTCAAGGGTTCGATGTTTTCACTGGCCTTTGGGACATTTCGCATTTTCGATGATTGGGCCTAAGAGGATCTTCTGGATTAAAATTTTTCAAAGGCTTGAAAGCGCCAACCTGCTTTTTGGGTTTAGGGTATAGGCAAGCCCAAAACCGTCATGTTGGTTTTACGGATATTCGGTGAGTTGGGTTCTGCTCCTTGTTTTGAGAAACTGGTGCTCCAACAGACTAGTTCCACATGGGTTAAAGTAGGATCATACTTACGAGTTCTTGCGAACATTACGTCTACAGGTTTCAGAAGCCCATAATGTCCTTATCAAATCCCTTGAGATCCGTCTCGTGCCGTTAACAATGCCATTCTAAGTATTTCCCGAGGGCTTAACCCATCAGACCTAGAGGGCTTGTCTCATGTAAGGAAACCAGAACCAAGAAAACCGAAACAAGCGGGGTTTTGTGTCGTTCAGGGAGTTTTGTTGAGTTTTCAAGCGGCGTCCAGTTTACGGTTATGGTTCCGGGCTTAGTTTTTGGAGCTGAGCTTCGGGGATTTGGGTTTGAGGTTTAGCCTTTTAGGGCTTGTTGGGTTCAGTCTTTGGAAACTGTACCCCCAGAATTACGGTTGATGATATAAATCCTGCATTACCTAAATGACCCCGGACTATGGGAGTTATGGTATATTCCTTACCATGGGTAATGCAGGGTTTATATGATCAACAATAGAACGTTGGATCGGCTTGGCATGCAGATCTTTGCTTGAAGGGTTGTGGTTGCTGAAACAAGGAAACTTATATACATGTGGCAACACGTATGATGGCAGATGCGCCCTCAACCCCGTGAACGCCGAATCTAAACCCTGAGACCTTGCAAATCTTGAAAGACCTCAATAACTTCAGTAGAAAACTCTAGAACATGAGATGTCACCCGGCGTTAAAGCTTTCACGTGGGTTTCTTGCGAAGGCTGGAGAGATGCTGGTGTCGGAGGCAGTCCGGCCAAACGGTTATTTGCTTGTCTCCCTTTTTGTCTTTGAAGATGTCTATGGCGTTTTGCCAGGGATCTCCATGTTTTTGTTTTATCTTTTGGTTGGTTCAATGCATACTCTTGCTGAGCCTTCAGGAGGGGTGCAGCTTCACGGATTCAGGGTTCGGTACCTTCGGGTGAAACAGGGGTCTGACTAGTCACTAGTAGTATCCCCTTCCAGTCCCGGTAATGCTTCGCTGTCAGAAAACGCAAAACCTGATCCAACACCCTCAACCCTAAGCCGACTTGTTAAGGATCTTCATTATTATCGTGGTTCAGGATTTAGGGTTCTTCAGGGCTTAGGCGGTGGAAGGCTGGTTGGTATTGTCTTGAGTAACTAGAGTTGTGTTCTGGGTCAGGTTACAGTATAGCTTTATAGGAACTAGAAGGTTGTATTGCTACTACTTGTCCAGGTGTAGCCTGTAGGACATTGGTTCCAGCAGTGATTAAGGCTTAGGAAGTTCACCGCCAGTAAGACGGTCAACCTACACCCTAAACCCCCTAAACCCGAAATCCTCACCCTAAACCCCGGCCCCTGACCTTAAACCCTTCAGCTTGAAGCCATCATTATGACCTGCCAGCTCAAAGACCCTAACCATCAGCAGCCTGCAGCCCCGTGATCCTAGACCCCTAAACCCTACAGCGTTAAACCCCTGGATCCCAGACCCGAAAGGATAAGAAGAGTTTTAAGTGCTCACCTGGCTTTCAGACAGTGGGGCGTAAGATTTGGATCTAGTGGGTTTGGCAGTTCAGGGTCTGTTGGCTTTACTTCAAGGTTTCGCGTTTAGGAGTTAGGAGCTACTGCTTTTGGGCTTCCGTTTGGGGGCTTGGGGGCCGATGGGGTTTGGTTTTCCAAACTCTGAATCTTCCAGCCCTAAAGCCCGAAACCCTAAGACTTGAAGCCCTTAAGATAAGGTGCTTGGATTCATGACCCTAAACCCTCGGGCTGTGCTGCTTCCTTGCGAAGGAGGCCAGCCACTGCAGAACGCTGAGTTGCTGCAGAGAACCTTGTCCTTTCTTTGCAGCAGTCTCTTCTTCAGCCAAACGAAGAGATTACCGAGCTCGTGTACAGGGCTTGCTTCTTTCACAACAAGCTGAAGGCGAGCCTCGCATCAAATCCGGAAAGTGTGCCCACCACAGCTTCTCGGGAGCCCGGAGCGCTTGCTTTGCGCAGCTTTCTTGGCGAAGCTCGAGAAGTTTTCGGTTGTCCCGTCGAGCATCACGAGCGACTGAGCCTGGACGTGTTCAACTGGTCGTTTGAGTGACCTCTATATATTTGGTTTATTTTGGGCCTGCTGAAAGAAGTAAGTGTTTCGGGTTATGCACACTATTTTCAAGGCCACAGGTTCCCACGGTTGAGGGTTTAGGGTTCCGCCTAGGAAGAGGTTGTTCTTCTGCTGGAAACCTCCTAGCCCTAAACTACCATGTTTGAAATGCCCTGTCCTGAAACCGCCAGACCATTCCAAAACCGTATAAACAAAAACCGAGCACAGACTTGATGCAGTTCACAAAAATTGGCAGGATAGCAAGTGCCACACCCCTGAAATTCTGGAGCGATGCTTGCTACCCCGAAGCCCTACACCCTGCACTTTCATTTATATTGGGTGTGGCGCCCGCCGAAGACTCCCAAATCGCTGAATCGAAGCTTTTGCCCTAAACTGTTCCAACATCAAAACCCTTAATCAATTACGTATATGGTCGTGGGCCCTACCTTAACCCTGACGAACCTACATTTTTAGGGTTCCTGATTATGACTTCCTTATGTACATCCTTAAAGAGGTAGGTCTTTCAGGGTTAAGGTAAGCCCAAAACCCAAACCCAGAAGCCTTATACAGTATGGTGTTTGGGCCCAAAAGCCTTTAGAAATGAGACCTTAGATGCCTAGGCACGTTACACCCCTCAACCGATTGCGCATATGGTCGTGGGGCCTGAGTTGGACGGCTCTCGTGCCTGATGCTTCCCAGTGGACCTGGACAATTAACGTCTGCTAAATGGGAGTTCGGGAGTTCCTATAAGGTACCCTTAGTAGCATCGGGCCCCAAATTAGGGGATCTACTTTCTAGATCTTTTGGGGGGTCTGGGAAGCCTGTCTCCGGTGGGATCCGCAACCCTCCTGAGCCACCGGGAGCAGGTCGAGGTAGCCTTGACAAAGCTTGAGACAGAAAGTTCCTTGGCGAGACAGATCAGGGTTGAGGATTTAGAGTTTGGGGTTTAGCAGCAGATCCTTGCAAAACCCTTAGTAGCTGAGTGGATACCCTTTACACCTTTTGGGATAATACTAGACACTATAAAACTGAAAGTGTGCACTTTTGGGGGCTTATGAACTCAGCAACTAAAAACCTCTTAAACCTTTGAATGCCTTTTCTCGTGATACAACCTTTTACAGTACTTGTCTCCTGGGATTATATGTTGTTCCAGTTTAAAGGGTGCATGTTAAGCTGCCTGGGCCCAAAAAGCATACCTACTATTTGCTTAAGAAACAACCAAAAAATAAAAATAATAATCCCTATATTACCCCCATAAGGAATATATTTCTTTATTTTTTGGGGTTCTTAAGCAAATAGTAGATACTATGTATGGTTTGGGGCTAAACTGATACTTTGAGCCCAGGGCTGCGTAGTCTTAGTTTAACCCTACATCCCAAACCATTGTCTGAGATAGACAGATAGATAGATAGATCGACAGACCGATCGATAGATCGATAGATAGATACATGAACACCCCATTATTACACCATGAGCCCGACATCCTGTAAAGTTAGCGCTCAAGGCCGTTTACCCTACGCCGTAAACTCCAAACATTTCAATTAAATCCAATCCCTAAACCCTGAACCCGTTGTCCCAAACTTCGCCAACCCGTAGACCTTCAACTTCTGATTCTTAATCCCGCAAGAAAACCCGAAGCCGTTCCCCCGACTTACGCCTATACCCTAAGCCCTGCGGTAAGCTCAGAGGCTCAGCGTGCTTCAACAACAACAACAGAAATTCGCAGGCCCAAGCTACAATCCCTGAACCCAGGAAGCACTTGAAGATCATTCAAGCCTTATAGAATCCCTGAAGGAACTCTCAAGGCGCTAAAAGCTCCCTGACCTTATAAACTTATGAAATGCTTGTAGATCCCTTTAAAGGAACGCCAAAACTCCTGCTGTAGGAACCTGATCAAGAAGCCCTGGTCCTATGACCCCAAAACATCTGGATCTTAGAAGGAACCATAAAAAATATCAAGGAACCAGGATATGGGAGTTTCCGACAATAGGGGGGGGGGGATCCTTATCACAAGGACCCCACTAATTCCACGGGTAAAAGGAGGGACCCTTAATAAGGACCCCTAGGCATATACCCTTAATATAGTTATCATATACTATATAGCCCATTATAGGGTAGGGGTCCCCATTAAGGGCCCCTCCTTTTCCCCTAAACCCCCAAACCCCTAAACCCTAAACCCTATACCCTTATAGAATCCTTATAGATCCCTTAAAAGGTCCCTCCTTTTCCCCTTTGACTAATTTTCGGAATCTCTCATATCAAACCCCGTTGCCGAGGCCTCGTCTCGCCGGAAGCTTACCTTTCTGCCGCCTTGGCCCGGGAAATTCTCCGATACGCCTGCTGCCAACAGCCGGAGGAAGAGCAGCTTCTTGGCGAGGTTTAGGGCTTCCCGACACCCTACTTAAAGGATCATGGGACTTAGTAAGTAAGTTATAATTGGGGTTATAAGTCCCCTAAGTGGGGTTATCCTAATTATAACCTACTTATAACCCTACTTACTAAGTCCCATGATCCTCTAAGTAGACCCTGATAGGGTTTAGGGTTTAGGGTTTCGAGTTGAGGGTTGGGGTTGAGGGTGCTAAAGTTCCCTGTTTTGAATCTAGGGTTCAGTGGGTAAGACGGCTTCCTTGGGTTTAGAGGGTTGTTGCTGCCAGTTACGGTGTGAGCACTACTTGAAGGCTCATGGGATTTAGTAAGTCAGGTTATAAGGAGGTTATAATTAGGATAACCCCACTTAGAAGACTTATCACCCCAGTTACAACTGCTTACTAAGTCCCATGATCCTCTAAGCAACTTAAACTCCCCCTTATAGATCCCTCTAAACCTCCTAAAGCTCCGACAACCTCTAGGCGCTGAGCCCCAAGCTTTGCGGAAAAGCCGAGGACCAGAACGCAGCTGGGGGACGCCTGGCTCCGGGATCAGCTGGAGCAGACCCCAGAGGACCCGGTTTAGGGTTTTAGAGTTTAGGGTTTAGGGTTTAGGGTTTTAGAGTTTAGGGTTTAGAGTTCCTGACCGGACTCCCCAACCCACAAACTCCAAACCCGGAGCTCAACAACCGTAGAGGCCTCAAAGTTTAGTGTACTTGAAGGCTCACGGGACTTAGTAAGTAAGGTTATAAGTAGGTTAGAATTAGGATAACCCCACCTACGGGACTTATAACCCCAGTTATAACCTACTTACTAAGTCCCATGGTCCTCTAGGTAATGTTTGTGGGTAGTTCTCTAAGTTTGGGTCCCTTTGTAGGCCATAATAAACCCTAAACCCTAAACCCTAAACCGTGTGGGTCCCTTTGTAGGCCATAATAATATTACGGCACCCTGGGGAGTCGGTCCCCAAAAAGGGACACTATCTCTTACCCATGTGGGGGTTTCCGAAAATAAGGGGTACCTTATTTTGGGTCCTTATAATAAGGATCCTACTATTTAGGGTACTATATTAGGGTCCCCTACTTTCGGAAACTCCCATGTAGTTTAATTACATTAGTTCCAGTATATAGCCCCTACCGACAACCCAAAACCCTAAAAGCCTGGAAACCCTAAACACTACTTAGAGGATCATGGGACTTGGTAAGTAGGTTATAACTGGGGTTATAAGTCCCCTAAGTGGGGTTATCCTAATTATAACCTACTTATAACCTTACTTACTAAGTCCCATGAGCCTTCAAGTAGACCCCTAAAACCAAAACCCCAAAACACTGAAAGCCTAGGCCCAAAGCAATTCACAAGCGGGTGATCCTCGGGTCGTGGTTTACTCTTGTAACAATGCTGATAATGTGGGGTTCCTCAGAGGGTTTGTTTTGGGCTTTATAGGGTTTTGGGATAAGACTTACTCAATGGCTCATGGGACTTAGTAAGTAAGGTTACAACGCAGGTTATAATTAGCATAACCCCACGTACCCAATCATTCCATTGCTTAAGCCGCAAGTACAGGGATGGGAATAGTTTCTAAGACCATGTCTTAGAGTTCTTTCGGTACTCGCACTATGATTCACCCCCCAAAAGCCCTAAAATTAGAGACTTGGTATGAAGGGATGTGAGCATATGGTCTACACGAAAAACACGGGCCTCCACAACGTACCTTGCTGTAGTATTAGTATTAAGGCGGCCCTCTATTAACTTCTGTCAAGCCCAAGTCTGTAAACTGTCGTTCACGAGTTGGTGATCCCTCCAAATTTATACTCTTTTTGTGAGCTGTTTGGGAAGACAGGAGATCATCAAGCGCTGCAAAGCCTCCAGCGAGGAGGTTTTGCGCAAAGAAAATCGCGACTCTGCTCCTATGGAAGATGTTTTTCTTCCTGTTCTAACAAGGGTTTACTGGTTTAGAGTTCAGGGTTTAGGGTGTTGGGGTTTAGGGTTTAGGGATTTACAGGGAGTCTATGTCTTCAAGAGCGATACAAGGTGCCCCTCCCCGATTAAAGGACCTGCAAAATCTCGATGCGCAGCCCTAAAATTCGCAAGTGCGGTTTTCTGCATGTTTTCGCACCTTCAGCCCAGACCCCAAAGCCCTGAGCCGCGAACCCCTGAACCTTACATCCTAAACTTGAATAGTAAGATGTCATTATGAGGACTCCATAAAATCCAAAATCTTTGTACAAAGACCCAAATGAGATGTGCAGGGTCGCCATAAAAACCGCCCCAGATGCCTTAAATCGTAAATCCGCAGCCCCACCCCGCAACCTTAATTCCTACCATGCAAACGAGGCGTTCTCGATTGATACCGCGAGTCATCATAACAGAGCCCCTTATAGCACCTTTGCTTCTCTCATGGGCTCCTTAACGAACCCTTCAAGAATCCTTGGCCAAATGGGATTTTCTGGATCGTTAGAACCCCAAAGCCTGAACCCGGAATATTCTCCCAAGCAGTGTCTTCAAACAGCCTAAACGCAACTCCGAATATGGTTCGAAGAGGTCTCTTTAAACAATCCAAACGAGGTCTTCTGGATCCACACCTTCAAGAACCCTTAACCACTAAACCCGTAAACGCGCCCTAGACTCTAGACCCTAAAGTAACGCCCTAAGCCCCCAAACCGCTGAGCCATAAAACCCTAAACCCCAAAAGTCCTGAATCCCATAAACCCCTACACCCGTGTGCCTTGGGTGAGCGGATACACTTTACACTTTTTGGGATAATACTAGCCACTATAAAACTGAAAGTGTACACTGTTTGTGGGTTTGTGGGCTTATGAACTCAGCAACTGAGATTATAAGGACCCCCAAATTAGGTATCCCTAATTTTCGGAAACTCTAAACCCTAAACCCTTTATATAACCTTAAAGATCCCTTTAAATGAGGTTTTCTGGATCGACACCTGGTGCAGCTCTTGGGGGCCAAGCGGCGACTCGCCGCCCTCTTGGACGACTGGGAGCTTCTTGGCTTGGGGTTCAGGGGCTTGGGGCTTAAGGCTTAGGGGTCTAGGGGGTTAGGGTTTAGAGGGTTAGGGTTTAGGGTTTTTGGGAGCTTCTTGGCACCAGCAGATCCGTAAAGACGAAATGAGCTGCTCCTTTAGGGATTTCTTTAAGGGTTCCTATGTTATTATGGGCTACATATTTTTAGGGTTCAAGGACGACTGGGAGCTTCTTGGCACCGGCAGTAGCAGAACTCTTCTAGTCTTGTAGGTAACCTTGCCCCGTTTTAGATATCTATTATCCCTATACAGAGGGACTTAGCGGGTTAGGGTTTAGGATTTAGGGTTTTAGGGTGTAGGGAAGGTAGTTTCTTGGCATAAGCAGTCCGTGAAGACGACATGAAGCGCTTCTTCTGGGATTCCTTTCAGGGTTCCTATAGCGGCTATGATGGGTTGGATATTTTGAGGGTTTAAGGACGACGAGAAGCTTCTTGGCGTGGGGTTTAGGGGCTTAGGGGTTTAGGGGGTTGGGGTTTGGGTGTTGAGGGTTTAGGGACACCAGCAGCAGCAGAACTCTACTAGTAGAGTCGGTAATCTTTAGTTTTTTCTGCGGGGTATTCTAGTCCCTAACTGTTCCAATATACTGCCAGAAGGTTTACCTGTAGTTCCCCAGCATACTGGACGAGTGGGGATCTCTCGTATTCCGCTGAGACGAACGAAAAGTTCTTAGTGCGGTTGCAGTCAACAACAGTCAGCGCTCTGAACCCTAAACATACTTACCCAGACACCCGGAAGAATCCCAAAAGTAGATCGCTTAAATGGGGGTTCCTGCAATGTACCCTTAGTCATTAGTAGTATAGGGCCCCGAATTGGGGGATCTGCTTTCTAGATCCTCCCGGGGGTCTGGGTAGTAGCTGAGTAGGCAACCTTTAACCTTTTGAGGCTTATAAATCCTACCATAATTGAAAAGGTTAGCCTTTTTGGGGCTAGGGCACTCAGCCCCTGAGCATAAGCACGAAACCCCATCAAACTCTCTTCATCCTTGAGATACGCCGTTTAAAGGACCGGAGCACTGCTGGGTCCCTGTTAAAGGAACCATGTGGGTAATTTGCTCTAAAAGACAGGGTCCCTTTTTGGGCCCCCAAAATTATTGACGGACATCAGTCGGTCGTTTGCATGAAGCACTCATTGGTAGCTTTTTGGGTCCCCAAAATAGCACGGCCCTCTCAAAACAGAGCCCTAAAAAGGATCCCAACTTAGAGGCCTGCCCAGATACCGAAGTTTTGAGGAAGATCGACCCTAAACCCACAAGGCTGAGTTATAGATCCCTCTTCAAGGAGCCCCTATGGATCCTTTTAAAAGGAGGGTTCAGGGTTTAACTTAGGGTTCACCGAAGTTTCGAGGAAGATCGACCACTATGCCATTCTTGGAGTGCCGCGTACGGTTTCGGACAAGGAGCTGCGCAATGCCTACCGGAAACTCGGAATCAGCGCTTTAGGGTCCAGGGCTTTGGGGGGTTCTGTGTTGTAGTTAAGGGTTCAGGGTTTAGTAAGTAACCGGAATCTCGGAATCAACGCTGCAGGTTTCAGTTTTAGATTGAGGGGAGAGCTTTAGGTTCGGGGCTTGCAGTTAGGGTTTGGGATCGTTTGTGCGAAGAGTCGGTGCAGGGTTTACATCTGCTGCAGTTTTTCAATTGTTGATTCCAGTTTCAGTGGCATGGTTTCAGCCAGTGAAGTCTTATTGTAAGCCGCCGAATAATTTGTTGACCAGTACTGAACATGAGTAGGATTTGTATGTACTCCTTGTGTTTAGTAGCGTCGTAGCCTCCTTGTGACTGGACACCGTTTTTCTGCTCTACTAAACGGAACAGCGAAACAGCTTGTGTTCGAACATGGTGCGGGCTTATAGTATGCTTGTCAACTTGTCATCATTGTCATTTCTATTTCCCATACCCTGGCCAAACCCTTTTCCACCACAGTATCTTCACTATTGTACCCTTATAGAACACTTCTAGTATCCTTCAGGTACTTTCAGGGCCAT